TCCCTCCGATATTACGAAGCTACTGGAGCCATGCACTTTTCAATGATTTTCATTGAAACATAAATTTCTTTAGAACTGCTTTTTGTGTTTAGTTTGTTGTCGTCCCCCCCCCCCCCCGCACCTCCGATGAGCACGGCTGGCTGCGTACGGTGCGAAAGAAGTTCAACATACATACATCATCAATTATTCGACTGCAGGAGTAGTACCTGTCATGTACAGTCCCTGTCATGAGAAAGGGGTAAATAATTCGAAGAGCAGGGAGGAGGCAAATACCTGGATGTTATTCCAGACAGAAACACTCATAACAAGAAATAGAACGCGTCCGACAGGACGTTCACCGAGGAGATGGAGCGACGAAGCCAGCTTCGCGTGCAGGTTCCTGGTTGGATTGAAACATCGCAGGACCGTGAGAGAGAGAGATAGCAACCGACGGAACGGGGATAGGCCTTCATCCAGCAGCGGATTGATCATGGCCGATGGAAATGGAGCGCGGAGGCTTCGGTGATGAAGAGATAGAGATGGTGGAGGGGGGGAGGGAGTCTCGATGAAGACTTCCCTGCGTCTAATAATGAAGTTATTCGTGAAGATGGAGAGCGCGGGGAGAGCTTCGCTTCATCTCCACGAGGCAACGGCGCCGTCTCGTGGCGTTAACGCGCAACTGCAGGGAGCCTCACCACTGCTATGCCGGAGGCGGGGTGGGGGGTGACGCGGTTCAGCAGCATTGGTTAATTAACTAAAACTAAACTACAACTATTTTTTATTTTACCAGCTAAAGCCCACTGAGTTACATCGCTCTTTAACAGGTGCGACCTGGCCTACAAATGATAGCTCAACGAAGTGGCTTATCGTGTGGAAATGTATAGCAGCCAAATGCTCCAAACGCACGTTTCTCAATGTGGAGGGAAAACCCGGAGGACCCGGAGAAATATCCCCGCGACCACGCGGAGAGAGACACGCAAACTCCAAATATACAGCAGGCGTCAGGATCGAACCCACGACCTCCTGCGTATCAGGCGAGAGAGTTAACACCTCGCCACCGCGGTACAAATTCTGTCTCTGCTGATGAGACGTTGAATGTCGAACGGGTTCAGAGCTTTCTTGTTTGAATCATTGCTGCTGATAAGATACACTCCTAGAAGACCCTGCAGGCAATGGGATGTGTAAAACAAATAGCCTTTATTATATGTGGAGACACAAATATGGGAATACGGGGGTATGACGTCGCTCCTCGTGACGTTGCACGGTTGCGCTGTTCAGCTCTCCGATGGCATTTTCGGGCTGCACCGCGGGTTGTCCGACGTTTCGCGGAAGAAGCTTCCAGCACGCGGAGCAAAGAACGTCGGGCATCACGCCGGACAAGAAGCGGTCACAAGTTGAAGAGAAATCCGAGTGCTGTGCGGGGAATCTCGAGTTCTCATTAAGGGTGTGACGATTCGGGTAGAATTTAACACGTAAACTTTCGCGACCAATATTACCCATAACAGAGGTTAATGGGTTAGATCTTGTAAAATATAAATATGTCGTTAAACCCGTCACCACCCAACATAGTCAATTAGTACGGGTTGTCACGTAAACATTTTTTTTGTTTGTATCGGTGTGGTGGCGGATTTCACGACACATTTAAACCTCGATTATGGATTTGAGTAGAGACCCGATTAAAGAATATATTTGTTTGAAATTCAACAAATGTATTGGTGATGGTGCGGATGCGTTGGCACAACACAGCAAACACAACACGTTTGTCAATAACACTGTGACCTACAAAGAATATAATTCCAAATGGTAATTATATCAAAATATATATGATAGGTGACGTTCATCATGTGGAAGTGTATTGCAGCCAAATAACTCTAATCGCATGTTTCGTGATGTGGAGGGTAAATGCCGAAGGACCCGAAGAAAGATCCACGCGACCACGGGGAGAGAGACACGCAAACTCCAAATATACAGCAGCAGCAGCAGCAGGCGTCAGGGTCGGGATCGAACCCACGACCTCCTGCATACCAGGCGAGGGAGTTAACATAACCACGGGCCATAATCTATGCTCATTAAAGTATTCTTGTTGTGCAGCTGCATCTTCCTCTGTCGCTCTCCCTTAAAAAATATTCTCACCTGATTGAAACATCAATGGTCTAACCGACTGAGCGACTGTTGCTATGCTGGTTCGACTGTTGTGAAAGACCCATGGTCGCTATTACCCTATTCTGCGGATTACAAGACGCACTTTGTGCACCTCTATTGTGAAATAAAGTTTGGGTGTTGTCGTTTAATCCGGTCGCTGCGAATGTGCGCACCCGTGGCCAGATTTGTATAACTTTATTGAGACCGGGCACAGATTCAGTATGGGATGCGTCTTATATTCTGGAAAAAAATACGGTAATCCTCAACTTCAATAAAACAGTAATTCAACAATAATTGCGAGAAAATTTTCAGCCAAGTTCCGAACTCCTTCGCTCGATTCGTAAGCTAACAGCGAGAGATCAACGATGCGGACACCTGTGTCACGGTGGCGAGATGTTAACTACCTCGCCTGCTTGAGATGAGGTCGAACCAAACCATGACGCCTATTGTGTATTTGGAGTTTGCGTGTCTCTCTCCTCGTGGTTGCGTGGATTCTTTTCCGAGTCCTCCGGGTTTTTCCCTCCACGTGTAAGTAAGCAACGTCACGCGTTTAGAGGATTTGGCTGCTGTACATTTGCACGTGATAAGCAACCTCGCTGAGCTATCATTTGTGATAGCCAGGTCATGAAATAGATATATTGGTCAGAGGGCCTTACGTGGTAAAATAAACATTTATATAGTTGAGTGCATCGAGGCTTGTTCCGACTTCGCTTTGCGTGGACTCGTGACGCCCTCTGCTGAACGCGGGAGGCCAGGGCCCTCGACTCGGGCTCTGCAAGGTGGCGGGGACGTTCTGTGTTGAAACAATCAAAAGGTCAACGTGAATTCTTACTCAAATGAGCATTGAGGCGATGCTCATCTGTTGTTTATGCTGGAATTGCATCGTCCTATAGCGTAGGAGGTCTCGGTCAAGTCTAATGGGGGCGTACATAAATTACGTCACGCGATTTTGGACGATTTTTGACCCACCTCGTCACACGGCGTGACAAAAAGTCAGACTCCCCCCCCTCAAATATGACGTCACAAAGCTCTGCCCCCCCCCCCCAAACCATATTTCCATTTTGAAAATAAAACATGCTTCAAATCGCTTTAACCTATTGTCATTGTAGTACGTATTTAATGTGGCGCTGCACTCTGATGTTGTAGGAGTGTTCTTATACCAACAATTATATATTTATTTTAAGTTGCGAATTTTGATGTGACGTCACATTTCTCAACCCCCCAGGTGCGTGACGTCATTTATGGACGGCCCCTAACCCATAGGACAACCACTGTTGACTTGCTTGTAAAGTGGTACGTTGTTTATCGACCCCGGAGGGACGATGGGCTGAGTCATCCCCCAACCAGGATTTGAACTCGAGATCTTCCGATTGCACCGCTGAGCAACGTTGTTACTTACTCTGCTGTAAAACGATGGTTGGCGACGTACAGTGCGAAATAAGTTCAACATGCATATGCAAAATCATGTGCTAATATATGTTTGATACATAAGTAGCCGTGTAAGACTCGCAAGGCTGGCTACGTACGGTGCGAAAGAAGTTCAACCTACGGAACATATTTGCGAAGCGATCAAACTGTGCACACGAGCGAACAGATTTCAACGAGAGACACTCCGAACGAGGCGAAAGAAACTGATTCTCGAGTCGAATCAAGTTCGTGAGTTAAGCCTGGTGGACATGTTGCCATAGACTGCCCGCGTGGCAGTCTATGGCATCGGGGTTCGAGCAATTGTTGTACTCTACTTCTATGCCATCCTGCATGTCTACGCTCTCCGCTTTATCACCACTGCACACTGGCCAGCATGGTGCATGCAGCATTGTAAAATAACACCCGCGTACGTATGTTGAACTTCTATCGCACCGTACGCAGCCACTCGTGAACCGTGTTGTAAAGAGGGCTGTGCGTGTACAGAACCCGCAACTAACGGAGACGAAGCGATGCGAAAAATGTCTCAGTGTTCAGTTGCGCGTGAAGTTCGACTTATCTTGCAGTGCGCGTGATGTTGCTCCCGATGGGTCCGCTATGTCTGCACATTATAGACGAGATGACAACTCGCGATAATCAGCAGCGACGGTAGCAGCAGCCATGGCCAATCCACTGCTGGATGAAGGCCTTCCCCAAGCCGTCGCCGTCTCTCACGCTGCTGCATGAGACGTTAACAATCCACCTTCCATCTCCTCCCTTTCCTCCTCGGTGGTCGCCCACTCGAGCGCATTCCATTCCTTGAGATCGGAATCATCGGTTGAGATATCCTTCAAGTGGCGGTGAGCGAGACGTGATGCGAGCTCAAGTTCAACTTTTACTTGCGTAAAAGTCTCATTTTGAAAGAATGACCTTGCTCACCAACATTGTGTTGCTGTTATTATTATGGCTATGCTTATTTACCCAGGAAAACATCATTCGGTCTCACGACTATTGTCACGAAGGTTTTCGCAGTGGGAGGCAATAATTGACGCTTTGTGTTTCACTATTCAAGTAATTTGCTCGTAATGTTTTCACATTTGGCACATTTGGACCGTGACGCCCTGCACAGTATGGACTAATTCATCTCTTCGGGATCCTTAACGTCCGATGCGAAAGCAGACGGCGCCGATTTTACGGCTAATATTCACCCGCGGTATTTACCGATGACGAAAGCGATCAAATGTTCTCACCGCGACCTTGGCTTCGTGCCCCAAGGCAGGGCAATTGGAAAAATCGTGTACAGACATTTGGGTGGTGGAAAAAAGGAAAAACAGCAGCGGCTGCTTCCATCTGGCGCCGGACCGCACCGATGCGTCACCTGCTCGCCACAAGCACCGTGAGCCACGCGGCTCCACGCTGGGACTTGTGCACAAGGAGGGGGGAGGGGGGAGGTGGGTGGCGGGCAGAGTGGGTAACGCCCCGTGTAGTTTGTGGCGAGAACACCCCCCCCCCCCCCGCTCTAGAAGGGAATTATAGACGAAGAAAATCGAGTGGATGTTGAACTTTTTTTCGCACCGTACGCAGCCAAGGTGTTAGGGAGGACAACAAACGAAACGCACGGAAAACATCTCGAAAGAAATTAGTTATCAACCTCGGCTTAAAAGAAGATTCGTTAGAGAGACGCTTCTGTGAATTGTTGGAGAGACGCTTCTGATAAACAAACAAAATAACTTCAACGCATACGTCAATAACACTGTGGTCTTAAATAGGGGGAAACAATATATAATAGGCAATGGCTCCGTGCTATGAAAAGAGTCATTGCCCGAAACGTCGCCTTTCATATATAATTTTTTTGGGGGGGGGGGGTCAGATAGCGTAAGTAAAATGTTTGTCGTACACCATCTCCGACACCCCTCCGCAGACAATGAATAAAGTTACCGCGTGATCGAACATGCCTGCACACTGTCATGTTTGGAGAGAAATCCACAACATTGAACAATCGATCACGGACCGTAACATTGGTCGCGAAAGCCCACGCGTTCGATCACCCCTTAGGATCGCAATTAATTCGTCCGGCGCTCTCGACCCATTGCAACGTCATGAGGTCGCAGGCACGTCCGCTGGCATCGCAACTGAAAATCACGCGAGACGTCATGGATTTAAATCCCCCCGTCCAGCAGCAGCAGCGCAGGGTGTGGCTTGGAACGCGACTGCCGCTGCTGTTGCACGGGAGACCGGAGTTGGAGTCTTCGACGCGCACGGAACGCCGTCAATGCAAGCATCACGGCAGCAGCATCGGCAGCATGTATCGAACCTTCCTCTTCAGCTCAGTCCTGGGACTTGTCGGGTTCGCCTCCCGATGCGGTGAGTCGAGGCAAATCCATCGATGGCCGGCAGCAAGTTGTTGAACGTGAGCGTTTAAAGTTGATGCGGTTTTGTTCGGATGTAACGAGTGGCACGGCGAGGGGTGTCCACGCGCGTGCTGTGTGCGCGCGCGCAAAACGATTCATCTGCCAGTCATCTCGGTCAGTCAACCCATTGCAACCCGGGTCTGTCCCGTGACCTGCCAGCGAATGTCCGACGCTTCACGTGACCTTAACGTGCACCTAGCCTGGCACAAGAACCGTGGTGACATCACCATCACTTAGTGGTGAATTGCGGCTGTTGTGGCGTAGTGGATAACGCACGGCCCTCCGCTCGGAATGAACTCGACTCACCTGGGTTCGATACCTGGCCAGGGCTAAAATCAGTGCCAATAATTATCCGAACACGTCCTGGGACCTGCTTTGTTTCGGTGTGTACACATTAGCACTGGGGGAAACAAAGGCGGCCGTGCGTAATTCTGCCCACATCATCCCCTCGATGTCCGTTCCTGCCTTAAAAGGTGCTCGCTAACAGTACTTGCCCCAATAGCCAATTAAAGGCTATACAGGGGTCTTTGTCAGTGTAAGAAGTGTCACCCCCACAGTTGACTGCAGTGGGTCACCCAAGGTTTCCGTGCATCACCCTGGGCGTCTTCTATTCGTGTCTCGCCGTCTCCCGCCTGCGTCTCTCCCCATGCGTTTGTCTCTGTTGCCTGTCCAAGTTAGTGTCTGTCTCCCTCTCTTTTCGAGTTGCGCTCAGTCCAACTCTTCCCGTGTCTACACAGGAAGCCACATTGCTGGCTACGGAACTACTGTTAAAGTGTCTGCGTCTCATCATTGTGTGGGTCTGTCTACCTCTCTGTGTTTCATTGCATTCGCCTATATCCTTATCGATCGCTCCCTGTCTGACCATTGCATTGTTCTAAACAGTACAGTTCACGTATTCTATACAATCGAAACTTATCTCCTTTGCTTTTACAGATGCCCGCGTTGGCGGCTGCGGTTGTGAAAACTGCGCGAGGTGGTGGTGGGGGGGTGATTCGTGTTCCGATGTTTTCTGGGGTTGTTGTTTTGGCTCGCACAGCCGTGCCCGTGCGAACGCGAGCCTCCACGTGGAAAGCACGTGCTGCTGCTGCTACTGCTGCAGCAGCAACAACATCAGCACGTGCTGATGTTGTTGCTGCTGCAGCAGTAGCAACACGTGCTGCTCCTCCGTGTTGGCCGTGTTTCGCTCAGGGTGTCGGTGTGTTTGGTCTCGTCGAAGTTTGTTTCGATATCTGTGATTGTAGCTGTCTCTCTCTCTCTGTCTCCGTGTGTCTCTCTGTGCATCACTGCCACCCCCACCCCTCTCTGGGGAGGTGGGGGGGGGGCTGTCCTGTCTGTCTCAGCCGGGTCTCGTTGTCTGTCGCACTGTCCCTCTCTGCCCCCCCCTCTCTCGCTGTCTGTGTATCCGTGTGCCTGTGGGGTGTGTCTGTGTGGTGTGTCAGTTCGATTCCCGCTCAAGGCCAACATCAGTGGCGATTAAATTATAATCTTACCCGGTCCTGGGCCTCCCCTAGGTCGACTCAGCATCGAATGAGTAACCTGGTGCCGTGTGTAAACATCGCCACTAGGAAGACAAAGGCGGCCGGGCGTGGTGTTGGCCACCCACCCCCTCGTGTGCCGTGCCAGCTTTCTTAGGTGCTCGCGAACAGCACTTGCCCCAACAGTCTGCTAAGGCTATACGGGGGATCTTTGTCTTGGTGTACGTACACGGTGTGCGCAGAGACGCGGGACTGAAGACTGATGCTCTGGGTGGAGGTTCCTTTTTTCTGTTTGATGAATAAGTTAATCTTAATTATGATAACAATTTACAGCCCTTTGGTCAACCCACTTTGGGAAAACGGCCTCCCCACGCCGTATCAGCTACGGTGGTAGCGGAGTTGTTCGGCCATACTTCATGTTAAGGAAATACGCATGATTTCGATTTAAAGCTTTCGTGACTGCAAGGATTCATCTTCTTTGATTCTTTCGGTAAAGTCACGTAGAATGAGAATAAAATAATAAATTTATAAAATAACACGATAAAATTCTCACGACGTTTCGGCCACAACACAAGTGGCCTTCATCAGGTGAAGGGACGAGACTGTCTGGAAGGACAGTCTCGAACCGCATCCACGCTCCAGCGCTATCCTCCAGACATTCTCGTCCCTTCACCTGATGAAGGCCACTTGTGTTGTGGCCGAAACGTCGTGAGAATTTGATTGTGTTATTTTATTAATTTATTATTTTATTCTCATTCTCCGTGACTTTACCGAAAGAACCAAAGAAGAAATACGCATGGACAGGACTTCAGTTCCAGGAATACAAATACCGTACAAAGAGGTGACCACGGAGCTGTAGAGGTCCACGTATGTTCATTATGATACTATAAAATATATATAGTTTACTTTATCTCTGTGGCAAAGGGACTCAGACGCTGCTTTCCAGAGCGAGTCACATGGGGCTGGTTGCAGAAAGAGCGGATCAGGGGTTCTGGAGAGAATGGGGGGTGAGATGGGTTGGCTATGCTGGAGGAATTTAATGAGGTGATGGGAAGGGTCGGGCGCCAGTGGAAGTTTAGGAACAAGAAAGTGCTGACAAGGTCGAATGAGGTGAAAGGTGTAAAAATAAAATAATAAAGATAAGCAGTGTGTGTCAGTGTGTGTGTGAGACCAGTGTGTGTGTGTGAGACCAGTGTATGTGTGTGTGAGACCAGTGTGTGTGTGTGAGGCCAGTGTGTGTCAGTGTGTGTGTGAGACCAGTGTGTGTGTGTGAGACCAGTGTGTGTGTGTGTCTAGTGTGTGTGTGAGACCAGTGTGTGTGTGTGAGTTCAGTGTATGTGTGTGAGACCAGTGTGTGTGTGTGAGACTAGTGTGTGTGTGTGTGAGACCAGTGTGTGTGTGTGAGACCAGTGTGTGTGTGTGAGACCAGTGTATGTGTGTGTGAGACCAGTGTATGTGTGTGTGAGACCAGTGTGTGTGTGAGACCAGTGTGTGTGTGTGAGACCAGTGTGTGTGTGTGTGTGAGACCAGTGTGTGTGTATGTGTGTGAGACCAGTGTGTGTGTAAGACCAATGTGTGTGTGAGAGATCAGTGTGTGTGTGTGAGACCAGTGTGTGTGTGCGTGAGACCAGTGTGTGTGTGAGACCAGTGTGTGTGTGTGTGACCAGTGTGTGTGTGTGAGACCAGTGTGTGTGTGTGTGAGGTCAGTGTGTGTGTGTGAGACCAGTGTGTGTGTGTGTGTGAGACCAGTGTGTGTGTGAGACCAGTGTGTGTGTGACCAGTGTGTGTGTGTGAGACCAGGGTATGTGTGTGAGACCAGTGTATGTGTGTGTGAGACCAGTGTGTGTGTGAGACCAGTGTGTGTGTGAGACCAGTATGTGTGTATATGAGACCAGTGTGTGTGTGTGTGACCAGTGTGTGTGTGACCAGTGTGTGTGTGAGACCAGTGTATGTGTGTGTGAGACCAGTGTGTGTGTGTGAGACCAGTGTGTGTGTGAGAGATCAGTATGTGTGTGTGAGACCAGTATGTGTGTGTGAGACCAGTGTGTGTGTATGTGTGAGACCAGTGTGTGTGTGTGTGAGACCAGTGTGTGTGTGTGAGACCAGTGTGTGTGTGTGAGACCAGTGTGTGTGTTGTGTTTCTCTGTCTCTGTGTCTCTCTCCACGTCTGTCTGTTGTGTTTCTCTGTCTCCGTAGCTGTCTCTCTCCACGTCTCCATGTCTCTCTCTCTCCACGTCTGTCTGTTGTGTTTCTCTGTCTCCGTGTCTCTCTCTCCACGTCTGCCTGTTGTGTGTCTCTGTCTCCGTGTCTCTCTCTCCACGTCTGCCTGTTGTGTGTCTCTGTCTCCGTGTCTCTCTCTCTCCACGTCTCCGTGTCTCGGGCCGCAACTTGAGTTTGTCTGCCTGGTGGTCCGCTCCGCGCAGAGGCGCCGTTCCTTAGATTTCAGGCGATGCACTTCGCGAGCAATGATGCGTGACAACGATGCCACGTGGTGATGTGTTGGGATGTTTATGTATATCGTCACCTATAATTATAATCGATAATTATTGATGCGTTTGGACCGCCACGCTAAATGGCCAGACTCCGCATCGAATGTGCCCCAAGTCGAGCTGGTATCAGCCGCAATATTTAATGTGAGCGATGTCATTCAGGGCCTCGATTAACCCTTCGCAATGATCCGTTTCTCGAACCGCATCCACATCGCCGTCGTCAATGTCTTCCAGGATCTTCGCCGACGATGATGGGAGTTGAAGTCGACTTCGATGCCGCCACGCAGAGTGTATTCGTGTTCCTGCAGCCAAACTCGCATTGTGATCGCGTAAGTGGTGTGTGTGTGTGATTACGTGTGTGTGCGTGACTACGTTTGTGTGTGTGTGATTGGAGAGAGATTTTACGCCAAAAATGTGCCGATGCCTCCATCACAGACTACTGATAGGAAGGACAAAGAGGTGTATTTTGATTGTTTCCACAAGACTTGGATGAGGTCCTATGTGCCTGTGCGTGTGTGGGAGTGGCAGTCCAGCGGTTGTAAGCGCGCTGCGACACAAACCCGGCCACCCGAGTTCAATTCGGGCTCGCGGCCAACACCAGTGACAATTATCGTCATCGGTCCTGGGCGTCCCCTATGTCGACTCAGCCTCAACAAAATTGAGTACCTGGTGCGATGTGTAAACATGCCCACTGGGGAGACAAAGGCGGCCAGGCGTGGTGCTGACCACACCACCCCTCTCGTGTGCGGTGCCGGCCTTCATGGGTGTTCGCTAACAGCACTCGCACCAAGAGTCTGTTAAGGGCTTAACTTGGCAATCTCTGCCTTTGTGTATGTGTGTGTGATTCGGTTTGTTTTGTTTGCGTGGCCTTGCATACTCAGCCACCCGAGTTCGATTCCAGGCTATGGGCTGACAATCGTCAAGGCGTACGCTACGCGATTTTCCCCGCGATCGCCCTAAACAGCAATCGATTCAACGATGAAGCAGTGCCGAATAAACTTCACGTCGACATTGTCGAGTCAAATAACAAAAGTGTCACGACGATACAACGCCCAACGGTGATAGCCACGGATGGGAATCGAACTCAGGTCGCCGGGTTCATCGTGAGATAACGTGCACACCACTGCAGCATAACTTCACACACCCATACACGTAGAAAGACAAAGAACCCCGTTATAGCCTTAGAATGTTAGGGCAAGTGCTGTTAGCGAGTATCACCTATGAAGGCCTTCACGGCACACTATAGGGGGGTGAGTGACCAACACCACGCCCGGCCGCCTTTGTCTCCCTAGTGGCGAAGTTTACACACCGCACCAGGTACTCATTTTTTTTAGACTGAGTCGACCTCCGAGATGGAGACCCGGAACCTGTCCGACCTCGGGGATGTCCTGGACCGGTTCAGATCATCTGAGTGGGAATCGAACTCGGACCGCTCCACTCACGCGCCACGGATCGGAGCACGGCTCCTTTCCAGCGAGTGTCGGTGGTGTTTAAGCAACATTGCCTTCTGGCCAGAGGATAATGCCAAGGTGGGAATCTTGCCCGGACACGCCTGACCCAATTGTTCGGGCTGGGATCGGTGGAGTCGGGTTTGTACCTGAACACGCGTGTTTCGGCCGCGCGTGTGAGTGTGTGTATGTATATGTGTGTGTGTATGTGTGTGTGTCTGTAAATGTCGACTCGGCCTCAAATGAGTACCTGGTGCGGTGTGTAGTAAACATCGCCGCTAGGGAGACAAAGGCGGCCGGGCGTGGTGTTGGCCACCCACCCCCTCGTGAGACGTGACGGCCTTTATAGGTGCTCGATAACAGCACTTGCCCCTACAGTCTATTAAAGGCTATACGGGGGATCTTTGTCATTGTGCGTGTCTCTATGGTAGTTCACTGCGATGTGAACCCAGTGACCTGAGTTCAGGTCTGGGCAGTGAACAACATCTTTGGCAGAAAGGGGGAGCTAATAATACACTCGGCTATCCCGAGGGGCTGTCCTTCATTAAATGTTTACCGGTGAGATGTATGAAACATCAGCGCTGGGGAGACTGGGCGTGATTGTGACCATACACAGAAGTGTACATTTGTTCTTATTGAAGAAATGAATAAGCAAGCAATACATCTCCCCGTGTTGGTCTCTCGACAGAACATAAATAAATAAAATGTACATCCCATTCGCCAACACTGGCGTCTGAGAGTTATTTTATCTGTTTTTTACGCCGGCATCGAATTAACACGATCAAACCGCGGGCCGGTTTTGACATTCAGCGACTCATCAGCTGCGCCAGGCTGCCTTGAACCAATGCTCAACTGCCGGGATGTTTACAGGCAACCACTGTTCTCTGTTCGATACGGATCCTGTAACAAACAACAACAACAATGTGGGAAGGATGCACACTCTCTGCTTCATTATCCCGTCAGTCATATTTCCTTGAACGACATCGTCGGCATTTTAGTCATCTGCACTGATTGGTATCGTTCCCACCGCGACTTTATTATACCGCCTCATCCCTTGTCTGTCCCCTGCTGTCTCGTCCCATGTGTCCGGGTGTTTTAGCCTGCCTCGTGTGGACTCTCGTTGAGTTCTGGCCCCTTGCTGTCCGCACAAAGGTCCCCCGTGTAGCCTTAACAGACTCTTTGGGGCAAGTGCTGTTCGCGAGCAACCGATGAAGGCCGGCACGGCGCATTAGCGGATCGGAGGCCAGCACCACGCCCGGCCGCCTTTGTCTCCTTAGCGGCGACGTTTACACCACCGCACCAGGTACTCGTTTGAGGCTGAGTCGACCTAGTGGAGGCTCAGGACCGCTGCAGATAATCGTCTCTGGCGTTGGTGGCAGTGAGCGGGAGCCGAACTCGGGTCGCCAGGTTCGTAGCGCAGCGCTCTCTCCGTTAAACCACCGCTCCCCACAACCACTCATCCCACAACTCCTCCTACCCCCCTCTTATCCGGCTCCTCTCCTCCCCGCTCCTCTCCATTGTTCCCATTTGGAGTGGTATCTTCGCGGGCCGCCATAACAAAATGGTTGTGCTATGATGCAGGCTCATTGCCCCAAAGCGTCGCTTTTTCATATATAAACCTCTATTATGGATGAATGTTTCCACTTTTTTAAAGGCCACACAGGGTTTATTGTAATTTGTACTCGTCTGCCACTGCGACAGAGTGTGCGTGTTGAACTTCTTTCGCACAGCACGTAGCCACCCGTGCTAATCGGAGGTGCGAAAGATGTGCGCCAAGGCCGGAGCCATGGAGTCAACATTGGGGGGGACCAAATTTTTTAGGGGGTCTAAATTTGAAAACGAATTTCCTGCCATTTCCTGCCGAAAATATTAAAAAAATTAACCAACACATAGGATGGACTTTTTTATTTATTTTTTACAATAATGTCTAAGAGACCTGATGTTTCATTGTATGTAATGGCAGAGATTAGGGATTTATTAAGTACAACCATAACCACAATCATATAAACAGAAATCTATTTTATAGCAATATATTGGGGGGGGGGGGGACATTTTGAGCATATTTGAGTATTGGGGGCAGGGGATGTGTCCTCCCCCCCCCCCCATATGTATTATAATTACAGCTACCCACGCCCTCGTGTGACGTTCTGCGCTTCATAGGTGCTTGCTAACAGCACTTGCCCCAACAGTCTGTTCAGGCTATACGGGGGATCTTTGTCTGTGTTGCTGTGTGCGGGATCCCTTGAGCAACACTCGTTCCACACTGCCGTGTTGAGCAACACCCGCTGCTCAACACCGCGGTGTGGTGCGGGCGAGTTGCAGGTGCGTCGTAAGAAGCTCTTGGCACGAAACCGAGCAGCTCCCTCTGCTGTCGGAACCGTTGATTGGGCGGCAGGGGGTCTCCACAGGTGTGTGCCGGCGCTGGAACTGCGCAAGTGGCTCGATGTATATCCAAGGCACCGGAATACGAAGAGGGGGGGGTGGGGGGAAGACATTTCATTACTCACAGCCATCGTCATGCCGACCACTTGACGCCACTGATGTCGGGATACATCTCAGATATAGTTGCCTGTGTCTGTGCGACACACACACACGCACACAGCAACACAGACAAAGATCCCCCGTATAGCCTGAACAGACTGTTGGGGCAAGTGCTGTTAGCAAGCACCTACAGTGAGGGAAAAAAAGTATTTGATCCTCTGCTGATTTTGTACGTTTGCCCACTGACAAAGAAATGATCAGTCTATCATTTTAATGGTAGGTTTATTTGAAAAGTGAGAGCCAGAATAACAACAAGAAAATCCAGAAAAACGCATGTCAAAAATGCTATAAATTGATTTTCATTTTAATGAGGGAAATAAGTATTTGACCCCCTCTCAATCAGAAAGATTTCTGGCTCCCAGGTGTCTTTTATACAGGTAACGAGCTGGGATTAGGAGCACACTCTTAAAGGGAGTGTTCCTAATCTCAGCTGGTTACCTGTATAAAAGACACCTGTCCACAGAAGCAATCAATCAATCAGATTCCAAACTCTCCACCATGGCCAAGACCAAAGAGCTCTCCAAGGATGTCAGGGACAAGATTGTAGACCTACACAAGGCTGGAATGGGCTACAAGACCATTGCCAATCAGCTTGGTGAGAAGGTGACAACAGTTGGTGCGATTATTCGCAAATGGAAGAAACACAAAAGAACTGTCAATCTCCCTCGGCCTGGGTTTCCATGCAAGATCTCACCTCGTGGAGCCCAGAACTACATGGGAGGATCTTGTCAATGATCTCAAGGCAACTGGGACCATAGTCACCAAGAAAACAATTGGTAACACACTACGCCGTGAAGGACTGAAATCCTGCAGCACCCGCAAGGTCCCCCTGCTCAAGAAAGCACATATACATGCCCGTCTGAAGTTTGCCAATGAACATCTGAATGATTCAGAAGACAACTGGGTGAAAGTGTTGTGGTCAGATGAGACCAAAATGGAGCTCTTTGGCATCAACTCAACTCGCCGTCTTTGGAGGAGGAATGCTGCCTATGACCCCAAGAACACCATCCCCATCGTCAAACATGGAGGTGGAAACATTATGCTTTGGGGGTGTTTTTTCTGCTAAAGGGACAGGACAACTTCACCGCATCAAAGGAACCATGGACGGGGTCATGTACCGTCAAATCTTGGGTGAGAACCTCCTTCCTTCAGCCAGGGCATTGAAAATGGGTCGTGGATGGGTATTCCAGCATGACAATAACCCAAAACACACGGTCAAGGCAACAAAGGAGTGGCTCAAGAAGAAGCACATTAAGGTCCTGGAGTGGCCTAGCCAGTCTCCAGACCTTAATCCCATAGAAAATCTGTGGAGGGAGCTGAAGGTTTCGAGTTGCCAAACGTCAGCCTCGAAACCTTAATGACTTGGAGAAGATCTGTAAAGAGGAGTGGGACGAAATCCCTCCTGAGATGTGTGCAAACCTGGTGGCCAACTACAAGAAACGTCTGACCTCTGTGATTGCCAACAAGGGTTTTGCCACCAAGTACTAAGTCATGTTTTGCAGAGGGGTCAAATACTTATTTCCCTCATTAAAATGCAAACCAATTTATAACATTTTTGACATGCGTTTTTCTCGATTTTGTTGTTGTTATTCTATGTCTCACTGTTCAAATAAACCTACCATTAAAATTTAAGACTGATAATTTTTTTGTCAGTGGGCAAACGTACAAAATCAGCAGGGGATCAAAAAATGTGTCCCTTACTGTATAAAGCGCAGAACGTCACACGAGGGGGTGGGTAGCCAGCACTACGCCTGGTCGCCTTTGTCTTACTCGTGTCGATGTTTGCACACCGCACCAGGTAGTCATTTAAGGCTGAGTCGACCTCGGGGAGGCCCAGGGCCGGTTCATACAATCGTCACTGGTGTTGGCCGTGAGCGGGAAGCGAACTCGGGCCGCCGGATTCATAGCGCGGCACGCTAACCGCTACGCTACCGTTCCCCCATGTACGCACGGACGTTGTTGCCTGCCCACGTTGTGTTTGTTTTGCACGCCCCACCGTTGCTCCCTGCTGGAACTTACTGCCCAGTTCGGAGCTGGGAGACTTTGCAGATGAAAAGGGTGGGGGAGCAAGGAGATATCAGGACACGTGCCAGATTGGCGTAGTAGCACAAGTAGCTACACGTGCTATGGGCCCCGAACTATCAAGCGCCTCGCGCTAAATGCTTTCAAGTTATCAATTCCGGTTCAGCGATTTTGCACTTGCTCTATTACTATAGTACTATACTGCTTTCAACTTTTATGAACGACTGGGTGTTTACGGTTAACGATTTGTCGTATTATCTGGCTGTATAGCAAATGCAAAAAAAAAAAATACTTTACTATGCAAGTAAAAAAATGTGTGTTTTAATATTTACGTGTTTTTTTTTATTTAGGGGCCCTTTATAACACAATACTACAGGCCCCGCACCAGCTTCATCCGGCACTGTATTAGACGCGTGTGTGATGAGTCTGCCTGACGTGCGAGAACTCCCCACACGGCAACGCCCCCCAGATCATTGATCCGCACCCAGTGCCGCAAATCGGAATGAGCCGGAATGCACCGGCCAGAGTGTGAATCTTTCATCATCGTCACAGCCCAGCATCGGTGGCGAGTGATATCGGAACCGGTCCTCCACCAATTACCCCCATTGACCGGGGTGGTGAAGTATGGTCGAACCGCCCCCAATGACCGACACGGCATGGGGAGACCTTCACTGACCGATGGATGGATTAACGAGTGCCAACTTCAAGATTCATAATAGATTTTTGGGCCAGACCGCCGCGTTAGTACAATGTGTGTTGTACACCCTCCTCCACACGACACAGCCGATTAACAAACGTGCCATCGTATTACTGCTTCATCACACCGGTGTGTTGGAGAGCTGTAAGCTATTATTAATGCATTGAGATTATTTAGAGTATTTGGCTGCGTATTTGGCTGCTATTCATTTTCACGTGATAAGCCACTTTGTTGAGTTTTGTGGCCAGGTCGCTTCTGAAAAATAAGTGAATAATAGCTCAGTGGGCTTTACCTGGTAAGATACAAAAAAAATAGTTTCGTTTCATTTTGTAGATATTTGTTTAAGTGATTCGTTTACGTTTCCTACACTCCGTTCGTGCGTTGCAACCGTTTGTTGTTGTAACGTTCTGACCCCGTGCCCCGACTGGACATCTGTGACAAAGAGCTTAATGGCTCATCGGATTCCTCCGGCATGAATACACATTCTGAATCGTGATTATTAGTATGATGATCGTGACCAATCGTTCCTGTTTGTATTACAAGGAGGACAGCACGGAGCACGTGACCTTCGCTCAGGTGCACACGACCTGCCGAGACCGGCGGCGCCCGGCAGCCTCCGTGTCTCTGCGATGCCGACCGGGCCGGGAGCAGCCGGTAACCATCTGCGAATGCTCCCCCCCCGTCCCCCCATAGCTCCAGAGCTGTGGCGTCTGAGTGCTGGGCTGGAGGAGGAGGAATGTTTCTGGCGTGGCAATAACGACAGGGACAGCGTGTTGCTAATTTTAGAAGCACGGACTCGTAGCCGATGGGGAAAGCGAAAAACGCTTTACACTTTCTGGCAATGAAAGAGGTGTTAAGGCTGTACGCCTTTTGGCGTCCTCTGGTCTAACGTCGTTTGAGACGAGGCTCAAAAGTAAGCTGTCTCTGGTGTGGACAAATCAGTTTCAAAGACAATGCATTTATTATCAGAGTATGTTTTTCGTTTGCATTCTGACCACAAGTATTGTGGTTATTGCAGACATGATTCCTTGTAAAATATTTCAGTTTGGTGTTTTAACATCATAACACCTGCTTTTTTGCCAGTGGGCCTTACCTGGCAAAATTAAAGAATTACTCAACGATGGCAGCTATACAAAAATAAGAAGAGATCCCACCAACAGCCTCGTCATAAAAACCAACAAAATCATTTCTGATTCAACCGCATTAATTGATCAAACTAAATAGTTCTCGTTGAAACCTTCTGCTGCCAGGCCACCAAGATTATACGGCTTAACAAAAATACATAAAGTAGATACACCCCTTCGTCCTATCGTATCTACTATTAACTCCCCCACCTACAAACTGGCTCGTTTTCTGTCTGAAATCCTGCGGCCTTTAACTGGAAAAACCACCTCTGCGGTACAAAATTCTACTCACCTGGTATCGACAATCAAGGGTTTTTCCTGTACCTGGCACCATCACAATCATTGAAGACTTGGTTCATCAAGGACTAAACACTGAGGTACCCCCTCTGGTAAGACACTGCTTAACCAATACATACTTCACTTGAACTTTCTACAAACAAACTGAGGGCACCCCAATGGGCTCCCCACTATCTCCGGTTGTAGCCAACATTTTCATGGAGAAATTTGAGACTGACGCCATCCAGACTGCCACTCTGCGCCCAACCTTATGGAAGAGGTACGTGGATGACACTTTTGTCATCTGGCCACATGGCCGGCCTGCTCTAGACCAATTCTTTGACCACATCAATTCCATACACCCAGCCATCAGATTTACCATGGAAGTCGAAAAAGATGGCAAGCTACCTTTTTTGGATGTCCTAATAAAAAAGAGACCTGATGGTTCAATGAGCCACTCTGTCTACAGGAAAGCTACCCATACGGATGCTTACCTGAAACCGGATTCCCACCACCATCCATCCTAGAAGAATTCCCTCATCAAGACACTGCACCATAGAGCCCAATGCATATCCAACCAGGAACATATAGCCAGTGAACTCAAGCACGTACACCAAGCTCTTAAGGCTAATGGTTGTTCCGACTACACAATCCGCAAAGCTATCACTCCAACCATGAAAAAGGACCCTCTTGAGGAGCCTTTCAAAACCATCACTTTACCCTACATTGCGGGGATCACAATAAAGATCTCCAAAATCTTGAATAGACACAATGTCCAGGTCCGATTCAACACATCACATAAAATGCGTGATCTGGTTCCGTCTGTAAAAGATGTGATTCCAGACATACAGTACCCTGACGTCTACAAACTAAGTTGCCTCTGTAGTAGTAGTTACATTAGAGAAACGAAACGACATGTCTCGGACCGCATTCGTGAACACAAAGCAGACCTGAAACACGGTAGGACCAACACCTCGGCCGTGGCAGATCACTGTTATAATTCAGTAAGCTCACATGACATTGACTTCTCCAAGACAGAGGTTCTTTGCAAGCCATCTTGCTTCCATGAGAGATTCGTTCATGAGGCTATCCACATATACAAACACAGAGACAATTTCAATCGAGAAGATGGATTCTGGCTTAGCAATCATTGGAAGGATTTGATAAACCATTTCGGGTCTTAATTGATTGATCACGCTTAAGGTGGCTTTCAGACCGCATCCATTATTTTGCGTCTCCCCCCTCCTCTTTTCCGAACATAGATGGACTCGTCCATCTGAACAAACTGTCAAATCGCTCTCCGTGGTGCTAACGTTAAAAAACCGCCACTTTTTTCAAATTTTCTTGTTGTGGTTTTCACACCTGATGATGATTGCTTGTGTTGCAGTCGAAACGTCGTGAGAATTTTATTGTTTTATATTTTTATTATTTTATTGTTTTCCTTCTACGTGACTTTACCGAAAGAACCAGGAATATGTGAAAAACCTATTATCATGTTTAAACATTGTTTGGTTTTATTTTAAACGCCAGATGTTTAAATATCTTAATGCAGTGGCAAGATGTTAAGTACCTCGCCTGGTATGCAGGAGGTCGTGGGTTCGATCCCGATCCTGACGCCATCTGTATATTTGGAGTTTGTGTGTCTCTCTCTCCGTGGTCACGTGGATCTTTTCTCCAGGTCCTCCGGTTTTTTCATCTACATTTATAATTAGGCATTTCGAGTATATAAATTTCCACGTGATAAGCCACTTCGCTGAGCTATCATTTGTGGCCAGGTCGCTTCTGAAAAAAAGCCCTTCATAGCTTAGTGGGCCTTACCTGGCAAAAATTTTGTAAAAAAAATGGTTTAGTTGTAATTTTTAAACACCAAATAGATATCTATTGCAAGGCATCAAGTCTGCATTAACCACACATGCTTGTGTCAAAACTTGCAAACAAACACGCTCTGTTAATACTGTGTTTGCATTGTCTTTGAAACTGATTGGCCTACTTCTTTCTGGCCTTGTCTCACCACGTGTCAGACCAGAGAATGCCACAAGGCGAACAGTACAACGGCAATGCGAGTATCAAAGTATGAATAGCTCTGGTTCAGTTGTATTTCTATTGCATTCATTGCCAGAAAGGGTAAAGCCTCTTCTTGTTGATTAATCGTTTTTGATACTGGCAAAAAGGGCCCATAGATGGGACGCACAGCCACAACCTCATGATTGTGACGGCGCTTTGAGTGGCAGGTGTGTGCCAGACAGGGACGTGCAGTCAGGGCAGGCAGGGGAGGCAGTGGAGGCAGGGGAGGCAGGGGAGGCAGGGGAGGCAGGGGAGGCAGGGGAGGCAGGGGAGGCAGTGGAGGCAGGGGAGGCAGTGCCTCACCTGTCATACTCCAATGAAAATAGCTGTTACGAAAAGTAGAAGAGAAAAAATTCAGATTTTCCCACTGCTCTGTCTTACGTCATTGCTGTATGATTCCAATAATTTTTAAAGTCAAAATCGCCAAATTTGCGGAGCTCCGCTGCAAATGCAGAGAGAGGCGGGGAGGCAGCGACGAGCTCAGCCTCCCCTCTGATTGCGCAACCCCTCAGACACTGGATGGAGCGCGGGCAATAGGCGTGTGCCTGTTACTATCTCTCTGCAATGACCGGAATCATACAGAAATTACATTTATAACACAGATCAGTGGAAAAATCTTACGTTTTGTTTTGGTTTTTTTTCTACTTTTCGTAACAGCTATTTCCATTGGGGTATGACAGGTGAGGCTCTGCCTCTCCTGCCTCCCCTGACCGCACGTCCCTGGTGCCAGACAGTTCATAGTTCACAGTTCCATTTATTTGGTATAGCCCTGTGAGCCATTCGGCTCTTGAATCGGGTGCAACCGCAACAAACAAAAAACAAAAAACACGAACAAGAAAACATCTTAAAGTGACTATGTGACTGTGCAAACAGAAAATCCAGGAAAAACATCAAAATATTCCTGAAATAGTACCGTACACCAACGCTGTGTGCAAAAATCCCAGTGGGATGCAAGTCAAACAACAACAACAACCACAAGACAACTAAGATTAAGGCCATCAGTCTAACTCCGTACTACAATAAACAAAAACATGGCCAAACCAAAAAAACTTTTCGAAATCACCAAAATAAAGCCATAAATGCAATGTAACAGTGATCATAGGGACTGTGACCGAATTTTTTACAATTTTTAACAATAAACTACATGTGTGTCAGCAGAAGTAAAGTCGGCGTGGCTCGAGCACCACGCTCCCTCGCTCTCTGTGCACTGGGTGCACACGCACCCACCACACGGTGGCCCAAAAGTCAGGACACACGGGGGGGGGGGTTATGTTCATTTTAACAATTCACACAAGGCCGTGTTTAATGCATTTTTAACAAATATTCACGTTAACGAGCGTTAACATCAACGCATGAATTGTCTTTTGAACTAAAAGTAGGATTTTTTTTTTAAAGATTACAGCTGCCTTCTTTAGCGTACATGAACACTAAATTGAACTCGTTCGTCACGTTTGTTTTAAATTTTAAATGTCGGCTGAAAAGTACAATTAAGAAAAATAATGATAACAAGAATATGAAGTTAAATAGACAATGACAACATTTTTATGAGAGTATCAAAATTCATTAAATAACCCTTTGTGTCTTGACTTTTGGGAGAATCTGTATGTTTACCGGTGACAACAATGTATGTGTTAATGTGTGTGGGTGTTCGTATGTGCGTGTATTCACGTAGTGTGGAAAAAGAACCCCCTACCTCCTCGCGGTGCCAGACGGGCAACTCTATCATGGACAGTGCTGTGGGGGGAGGGCCAATTACGATTGGTCCCTCCCCTCATGGCGTCTGTGACAACCACAGGGGCTAAACGGGGGCTCTGGACCACGAAACCACGAATTAAAGATGTAACAAATAAGCTTGTGCCAGAGGCCCTGGGGGGACAGGCGTCTATGACGTCTCCTGGCCAAACCCCAATTGGCGGAGCCAGGAGACTGAATCTCTACCCTCGGGGCTCCTCCAGAATCGTGTGGCCACGTGGAATGTTCGAACGCTCACTGCGGAGGAGAGGCTACCACTCCTCTGTTGGGAGCTGGACCGATACCGCCTGGATCTCTGTGGCATTCAGGAGATCCGGTGGACCGGTTCTGGCTCCTGCCACCATGAGGGGTGGACAGTCCTCTACTCGGGGCAGCAGACTACCAAACAACAGGGTGTGGCTCTTCTTTTGAACAAAATAATGAAGGGTACGTGGGAGCGTGGCGGTGAGGTTTGGGAAGCTGTAAGCCACAGGCTACTCTGGGCTCGCCTTCCCATCAACCGGAGGTGAGGAGTGGTGGTCGTGGTTACTTATGCCCCCACCGAAGACGAACATCCGTGGAGGTATGCAGACAAAGCCGATGAGTCAGATGCCTTCTATGACCTCCTGTCACACGTGCTGGCTAAAGTGGCCCCTCGGGATAGAGTCATCTTTTTAGGTGACTTCAATGCCCGAGTTGGTCATAATTCTAGCACCTGGTCTGGAGTGATTGGAGGGCATGGGCCAGATCAGCTCAATAACAACGGTAGGAGGCTGCTAGATTTTTGTGCAGCCCATGGGCTTGTAATTACCAACATGCTGTTCCGGCATCGGCGCATCCACACAACATCATGGATGCATGCCGGGTCCAAGCAAGAACATCTGCTGGACTATATAGTTACGGACCAGCGGATGCGAGCCCATGTCCTTGACACCAGGACCTACCGCGGAGCTGATCTGCCCTCTGACCATCGACTAGTCATCTGTAAGATGTGCCTGCCATTCTTCCACTCCGATGGTGGGTGGACACCCAGGACCCCATTCCAACCTAAAGTGGCCTGGTCTCAGTTAGCTGATGAAAGTTGCAAGCGAGAATTTCATCATCGCTTGCGGCTGGAGTTGGCATCGTCTCCCACTCCTCCTGATGTCGAGGGTAAATGGGCGAGGTTTAGGACTGTGACTCATGCAGCTGCAATGGCTGCTTTGGGTACGCGGTCCAGACCTCCCCAGAGACCCTGGCTGATAAAGGAGGTGTTCAGGATAGTTGAGAAAAAGCGACAGGCCTACTGTCATCGGCTACAGAATCCCACGTCAGAGAATGAGGAGGCTTACCGCCTTTGCTCGGAGGTTCGGAGAGCCGTGAGGTGCTGCAAGGATGGGTGATGGTCGTGGTTTGCTGAGGAGATGGAGTCTGCCTCAGTGGCCCGCGATTACAAATCTCTATTTAACTCCATCAAAAAAGTAACCTTTAGCACCACACCTATTACCATCATTAGGGGAAAAACGGTGTTCCAATCTCCGACCCCCAGGAACAGGTTTGCAGATTTGCTGAGCATTTCTGTGAGGTCCTGGGGGAGGGGAAACCCCTCAGCCAGAAAAACATCGTGGCACAAAGTGGGGATGACCCTGCTGAGGCTGCGGTTGCTAAAATATTGGAAGAAGTCACCCCCTGTGAGTGGCTGGCTGAGGTGCCATCTGTTGAGGAAGTACTGAAGGCGATCCGGAGTCTGAGACCAGGAAAGGCACCGGGCAGGGATGATCTCCGAAGCGAAATGCTGAGGGAGAGTGGCGTTTGTGCACAGACTGCCCTATATGACATCATAGCAACAGTCTGGACCACTGGACGGGTTCCGCAGATTTGGAAGGGGGACCGCACAGACTGTAACAACTACAGGGGCATCTCACTCCTCAGTGTGCCGGGTAAGGTCCTGGCAAGGATTATTCAACATCGCCTTGCCAGGCACGCTGAGGAGAGGCTTGCGGAGCCCCAATGCGGTATCAGGAAAGGGCGGTCCTGCACAAATGCCATATTTTCTGTCCGTTTGCTACAGCAGAGGTGTAGGGAATTCCAACAAGACCTACATCTCTGCTTTATTGACCTGGTCAAGGACTATGATACCATCAGTAGGCCTGGGCTCTGGGTTGTTCTTCATGCTTTTGGAGTCCCTGACCCCTGCTCACGATCATTAAGGACCTTCATGATGGTGAGCATGCCCGGGTAAAACTACGTGGCCGGGAGCCAGAGCCATTCCCTGTACACCTTGGGGTGTGACAGGGATGTCCTCTGGCTCCCACATTATTTAACATCTATTTTGACCACGTAGTTCGTGAAGCCTTCAATAGCTGTACCGGGGGAATCTCCATTTGGTACAGATATAATGGGAGGCTGATCGATGCCCGGGTGCGGTCAAGGGATGGCTCCCTATTGCTCAACCACGTTATGTATGCCGATGATTTGGTAATAGCTGCTCATTCAGAGGAGGAGTTGGAGATGCTGCTGCTGAAACTGGAGCATGCCACTAAGAGATGGAGCCTTACCATCAGCCCCACCAAAACTAAGCACCTGCCTGGGTATTTTGTACCATCGGACACTCCACCCCCACAACTCCCAATCGGTGATGGGGCAGTTGTGGAGAGAGTGGAGAGTTTCCCATACCTGGGCAGTGTGCTTATGACCGGCTCCAGTTTAACAGCAGAGGTCTCACTCCGAATCAGTCGAGCGGCAATATCTTTTCATCGGTTGCGTAACGCTGTGTGGAAGCTACTATACCTGGTCTGTCGCTCCGCACTAAGCTTCAGGTCTTCTCGGCCATGGTCATTCCCTCCCTTCTCTACGCTTGCGAAACGTGGACCCCCTTAATGGAACATCTTCGCCGGTTAGAAACATTTAGGCAAGCCTGCCTACGATCCATCCTGGGTTTAACCAGGCTGGATTGTGTGAGGAGCTCACAAATCCTTGAAAGATCTGGGCAAGGTCCTATCGGTGAGCTCCTCCGGCAGGCAAGGCTGCGTTGGCTGGATCATGTAGCCCGCATGCCCAGCCACCGTATGCCGAAACAGCTTTTGTTCGGCCGGATCGAGGGGGCTAAACGGGCGCGGCACGGGCTAGAGAAGAGATGGAGTGATGTGGTACAGGAGGACGTGGAGCTGAGTGGACTTGCCGATGACTGGTACCAGCGGTGTCAAGATCGGCCTCTGTGGAGGAGGGTCGTGAAGGACGCTACTGGGCAGTTGGAGGCAGTCGCCCTCCAACAACAACGGAGGGCGGAGGAGCGATGCTCACAACAACGAGCGGAGCGCCGGGTGGCTAAAGCACAGCAGATTGGCACAGTAGGGAGCACAGGTGGTGCATCAGCCAGTCATCTCAGTCAGTCGACCCGTGGAACCTGGGTCTGCCCTGTGACCTCCTGCCAGCGGGCGTTCGACACTTCACGTGGCCTCAAGGTGCACATGGCCTGGCACAAGCGTCGTGGTGACGTCACCACCACTTAGTGGCGAATGGCGATTGCTGTTGTATTCACGTGTAGTTGCACTAAAGATGCAGCGGTTAGCTCGCTGCGTATCGAACCCGGCTACCTGAGTTCAATTTCCGCTCACCACTGATAACAGCGGCCAATATTCAAAACCGGTCCAGGGCCTCCCCTAGGTCTACTCAACCTTAAATGTGTACCTGGTGCGGTGTGTAAACGTTACCATTGGGGGAGAGCAAAGGCGTGGTATAGCCCTTCATGGCCGCTCTCTAACAGCGCTTTCCCCAACGGCGGTAAAGCTTACGAGGGGGATCTTTGTCTTTTGCACCAAAGGCATTGTGTCGGCACGGAGTATGGTGACTGACCCCGTCCTCACGCTGAGGTCTCCACGGACTGCGCGGCCACGAGCTCTCGAACTCACTGCGAACTTCGCCTCTCTCCCTCTCTCTCTCTTCCTGATCGCAGGTCGCGCCGTCAAGCGTTTACCTGTGCAGCAAAGGCGGTAAGCCAGCCGATTCCGTTGCCAAGCGGCGATACTAACCGTACGCCCTGTTCACCCAGGAGAGCCTCGCTGAGTCTCAGGGAAATTTCAGGAGGGTCCTGCAAAGTGTTTGAAGTAGGGGGAGATGTTGAAATGTTTAATCCAAAACGGAGTCATTTACAGGGATGTCATCATCATCATCGTCACGATCCATGAGCAGATCGCCCCGTAGGTGTCCACTGCACATTTCATGATTTGTTTCCACTTTCCCTCTGTCTTGTGCCAATATGCTGAAGTAGTGCCACATCTTTCTGGCACCAATCTCTAATGTCATCACGCCATTCTCTGTTTGGTCTTGCTCTCGTCCCAGTTACTTCCATTTTTCTGAACAATTTACTTAAAAATTTTCTGTTGTTATCCATCCTATGTATGTGTCCAAATAGTGCCAGTTTCCTCATCATCACTGCCTGCATCAGATTCATCCAAGTACAATTACATCAATGTTGGTTACTCTATGATAGCTGGCACCAAACTGTGCCACACGCCCTTCGGCATGACCTTATGGGAGCCTCGGTACGTCTTCCGACCTGAAGATGTACCGATAAAGTTATTTAATTGTAGTTTTTCTTCGGATTCCGTTCCGATGACATACGTGTACGGTTACGTGTATGTCATCGGAACGGAATCGGAAGAAAAAAACTGGGAAAGGGTTCAATGCATCACAGCTCCATGTCAACCACGATCCACCAACCCCACGTCCATGTCGCTGGGTTCATAAATATGAGCCAACAGCAAGGATTTATTGACGAGTTGATATTTTCTGGATTGCTGGCAGACAGGCGTAGGTGGCATGTGACTATTGGCCACGGCCATAGCGAAGTGGTATACTGGATGTGTTGCGCTGTGCATAAATAATTTCCCTGTCGCTGGCAGGCTGGGGTAGGTGGCACGTGATGAGTAGTCACAGCCATAGCGAAGTGGTATACTGGATGCGGTGTGCCGGGTGTGGGATATTCTTTTTTTTGGGCTCCCCATGCAGGTGACATTGCGTATGGCGTCACTTCGTGCGGAAGCCCCGTGCGGATGATGCTGCGCCTACCCGCGGATGCTGGCTGCGGCGAAGATGCGAACGGAACTTCCGACGACTTCTCTTCGACCGCAGCCACGGCTGGAGGGCAGGTCTGTGCGATGTGTGGGGCGGCGACTTTAACGAGCGTAATCTTCGCGGGCGCGAATGAGCCCCCACGCTTCAATTTGTAAAAGTCGGCGGAGCCGTTTCCCAAAAAATGGGACTTTTTTTTTTAGATGTTCAATAGCTCGTTACATTCATTGTCCTTAATGTGCGTGGGTAATGCGGTGGCAATGTGGCGGTAATTGAATGCTGACCTTCCAATTCCTATTCCACTGCCTCGTGTCTTGCGCGTGGCGCTAATTGATCGTACGATTGTGGAATCCGGTCCACGTGTTTGGCCGTGCAGAGACGAGCGGGAGCAACGAAATACAAATGCGGTGCTCGTGCTGTTTTAGGTGATTTCGAAATGCGGGTTGTGTTGTGCTTCACCGGATGAATGGAGCCGCGCACGCTTTGATTCATTGGCTCGCGGCAAACTTTTTAACATTTTTGGTTTAACACGCAGGTTTCCCTGACCAATATTATCCACGGTGGAGGCTTATGGGTTAGATCGCGTGAACATAAACGTGTGTCGTTAAACCCGCCACCACCCAACACAGCCAATTAGTAAGGTTTGTCACGTAAGCAAGTGGCATATTTTATATACGTGACAGACCTTACTAATTGGCTGTGTCGGGTGGTGGTGGGTTCAACGGCACATTTATATTTACGAGATCTAACCCAAAAACTTCAAGTATGGATTTTAAACATTTTGTTGAAACTGCTTACAGCAAGGGGTGGAGATTGTTGCTCTTTGCCGTTGGCCGCGTAGGACTTCTGGATCACCTTTGATGGGCCGCACTTGAATGTGCAGTGATAATAACGCAAACAAATGATCCGAGAATAACGTTTTAATGGTTCGTACAATAATGATAACGTGTGTGTCGACCAAGCATAGAGCAGCCCTTGGAATTCAAAACGTGACTGAGCGTCGCTAAACTTAGAGACGCAGCGTTGTTGCTAAGTTCAAATTATTTCCCTCCAGTACCCGACCAACGTGGCCAAGACCCCAGCGGTAACAGATACGAGCCCCTTGTATCTGTTACAGCTGATGTGGTAGGAGGCTGCATGTGGTCGCACCTCCCATTAGCATGGTTGGCGACGTATGGTGCGAAAGAAGTTCAACATGCATGCGCACGTGAGCGCAATTCGCGAGTGCGTTGGACTTTTGGGGCGAAACTACTTCGATGTCTCCATCATCATCATCACCACCATCATCGCGAACAACAGCAGTGCAAAGCAGTGACTGTTGCCACAGCTCAATTTCTCGTTGAATATTTTTTTGGGCTCGATGGCGGACCTGAGTAGGCCCGCGATTGGCAGCCGCAGCCGGAGCGAGCGGCATACCGGATGCGGTGTGCCGCGCGCGGACCGCACCGACGCACGTACCAGCCCCTCCCGGGGGTACCGCTCTGTACCCGCAGGCGCCGATCGCCGCCTCCGTGGGGGCGGCCGTGGTGTGTGCGAACGCGGCGCTCTGCGCAAACTCGACGGAGCCGCGCTCGCTCGGCCTGGCGTGGGGTCGCGCGTTCACCGTCTTGCTGCGGCCCGCGGTGAGAGCTTCCAAACGCGACGTGCTTCCACGCGGCTCGGCGTCTCGCTCGGTCCACCCAGGGTGACTGCTGGGACCCGAGTGGGGTGGCACGTCGTGGCTAGCCAGCGGTGGTACGACGGCACGTGGTGTGCTGGTTGCGCTGAGATGCGTTTTGGTTTTTTTTCCGGGGTCAACCGACCGGGACTGATCCGTACACCCGTTGTCGTACACGGCTACCCGAGTTCGATTCTGGCGTGCGATGTATCCGAACCGATCCCGGGTTCTCTCCCACCACCTGCACGCCCGTTCAGTAACCCGCACTGACCAGCATGGTGGAGTTATGGTCAGGTGTGATGTGGTGCGGAGAGGCCTTCAGCAGTGGACTGACAAACGGGTGTCGACTATTCATGCATACGCTGCACTGTGTTGCATTTCAGAAGAATAAACATCAATTATGCTTCTCGATTGATTCAGAAATGACTCGACACAGTTCCATTCCGCAGAGGTGCGGCGTTGAGATGTTTGACCAATTAGTGATTTGTGTTTGGGAGGAAATCAAAGTATCCGGAGAAACCCACGGGTTCGTGGAGATAATGCTCATCGTGTGCAAAGCGCGAACATCACGTTTTAATAATGACAATGTCCTTGTATATCCCAATGAAATAAAAATGTCTCATTTCCCTGCGCAGGATGCCGTTGATGAAGAATTTGGTAAGTTTTAGAGTCACTTGCAGTCTTATTATCATCATCACCGCCGTCATCATCGTCATCATCGTCATCATCATCATCGTCATCATCGTCATCATCATCGTAATCATCGTCATCATCGTCATCATCATCGTCATCATCGTCGTCATCATCGTCATCATCGTCGTCATCATCATCATCATCGTCATCATCATCGTCATCATCATCGTCAAGCCACAAGGTGTTCATCTGCACGTGTACGTAAATTATTTAGTTGGCACGGTGGAGTGCGATTATAACGAGGTTAATACATACATACATAAATAATAATGATGATGATGATGGGAGCTTCTTCCTGCTTTATTCGTATGGTGGAGAGCTTCTACCGCCACGGCCAAGAAACCCCGTGGATTCTCGCAGGAAACACCGATTTTTGCAATGTGCATTTAAGCAGCGCCATCGCCCCAATACGTCACCGATTGCACACTCCCCCTCTCAGGGCCCAAGCGCTGTCACCGTTGACGAATGTGCTGAGTTGCTGTGTTATAATTTGTGCTCGCGGCACCGCTTGCCGACGCATCGCCGCCTAACGTCTCTCATCCGATCCGTCGAGCGACGTCGATTCGTTCGCCCACGCTGCCCGCGATGGAACGCGCGCGGATCTGTTCCGTGGGGGCGCGTGTGCCTCTCCGCGCCTCTTCCCGCACCATTTCGGCTTTCGTTTTGCTTTTCTCCGCCAGCGTCCGCGACGGGCAATCGCACCTCCGATTAGCAGGGTTGGCTACGTACGGTGCGAAAGAAGTTCAACATACGTACACACACAAAGACGAAGATCCCCCGTATAGCCTTAACAGGCACGTTGGGGCAAGTGCTTTTAACGAGCACCAATGAAGGGGGACGGCATGGCATACGAGAAGGTGGGTGGCCAGCACCACCCCCGGCCCCCTTTGTCTCCCCGGTAGCGATGTTTACTCACTACATCAGGTACTCATTTGAAGCTGAGTCGACCTAGGGTGGGGGGCCCAGAACCGCTTGAGATAATTGGCACAGGTGTCGGCCGTGGGGCGGGAATTGAACTCGGGTCGCCGGGCGCATAGCACAGCGTGCTAACCGCTACACCACCGCTACACCACAGCTCCTCACACACACGTACGTGCACACACACACACGTACAGACAAAGTACCGACGCGCGTGTTCTCTCGCCACGTGCGCAGCGTCCGTGGAGCGCATGGCGGATGTGGCGAGCGATCGGCCACACCCCGCGGACAGGAACACGCTCTTCCACGGTGAGTCGCCGCGCAGCTACAGCTAAAGGTGCCCTCCCTCATAGTTCTTGCTTTTGCCCCTGCCGCAGGTAGAGCCACCCCCCCCCCTCTCCCCCCAACCTCCAGAAGCTCCGTGTGGCTTTGCTCTTCCATGTTAACAGTTCCGGCGCACGACCGCAGGCTCCATAATGCCCCATGGCGGGCGTGCGCACTGCCCTCTGCGCAGGTGTGGTCGCCTTCCTCGTCTGCGTGGGAGTCGCCCTGCTGGCCCTCCTCGTCGTCTGGACGAAACGTGAGCGGCGCACACCCCCGGCGGCGGCGGCGGCGCGCGACCGGCACGTGGGCCCCGTGCAAGGAGCGAAATGGAGGGGGGCATCTAATTCCCACCCCCCCCACCCCCCCCACCCCCCCCCACGTTTCCCGGGCCCCTCCAAACCAGGGGGCCCCCGTGACCCCCATGAGCCCCACGTGGGCCCCCGTTCATGATGAGTCCCAATTAAAAGGAAACCGGTTTACTTTTGACAAACACATGGCGCGAGCGGTTGGTCAGGAAATGAGTCGGCGCCCCCCTGCCCGCCCCCGTCCCCGCCACAAGATTTGGTTAACGTTCACAGTTCAGGGTTGTGGTTCGATTCAGGGATCACCGTTACAACGCGGTTTCTGAGCGGTCGACGACGAACTACTTTCTTGAGCTGCGCGGCTGAGCGGTGTTCTGGGTATACGCGCGGAATGGTCCGAGTGGACGGCGGCTCACCCCCATCCAGCTTCTCTGTCCCGCCATCAGGTGACTGCAGGCTGATTTTATGGAGCGGGTGTGATAAAAAAAAAATCAAAGAATGCTGCGTTGTTTTAATCGTGTACTTTTGCACTGCAATGTAATTGCTCGCTTAAAGCCTCGTCGCTTAACGCGGCGCTTTTCAGGAATGCATCTACCGCCTTCAATGAGGAATTACCGTACGTGCAAAGATGCACATTTATTTGAGTGATGAGCATTGCTTTGTCCCTCCAGTTCGTTTGCAGGAGTGGTCAGATTTGTTTTCGTACGTCTAATCGGAAGCGCATTTCTATCTCACTAACTGTCTTTTTGTTTTTGTAACACACAGGGCAAAGGTCACAGCAGCGAACGGGGCCTGGCCAAAAGGACATCGCTGTTCAAGAGGCGCAATTTGCTTGAATAAATTTCTCCCATTCAGCTTTGTAGAATGTTAGGGCAAAATGCTGTTAGCGAGCGCCGATTAAGGCCAACGCAGGCACACGACGGGTACGTGCGCACGGATCTGCGGTGAAACCGCGATTTTTCCGTGGAACGATTATCTTAGCTGTGGATTAACCGTGCTCGTGTGAAAAAAAAGAGGATACCTGTGTAATGTAACGACTCTGGAGACATAAACTGTAGGGGCATCTCCTTAATTCCTTTATACTCACACAACTACAACTTGGTAGAACGGAATATAATGCTAACAGTCTAGCTACGATGGCGCCGACCTAACTAGATAACTGGTTGACTATCTAGCGACGGCGACGACGAAGCGATGACAACGCCCACGACAGCCCAGAACCCCGTTCCTCGCTCCCTTTTATCCTCCCAGCGTGGCCGTGGCTCCGCCCTGGCCACGCCCCCTTTCTCGAACTCTCTGGTGGGTTCAGGGAGCTCCCAGATGGATCTCCTTTCTGACCCTTGGCCTAGATATTCCCCCTTGTGGTCGCTCCCGTGTATCGATCCTCCCTTCTGCCCATACTGCTCCCACACCCGCAATTACCACTTCTGGCCGCCAGTAAGAGCACTGTCTCTACACCCGTACACACGACAATTTAATCGCGAGCTGCTCCTCAAATGTCGTGGGCCGGCGACTCAATGCCCACGTGACCGCAAATGCGTCAGCGAGTCATGCGATTGCTTTCTGCAATGATCATTGGAATACAAAGTTACTCTTTTGTGGGATACAATATCGATCGCGTATCAATAAACGTTGCAATTACTTAACTTTAAAGATACCCGTATTGAGATACCTCATAGAGACCCATCTAAAATGTACACACATCAAACAGTAATAATTATGTCGTGCATAAAAACGCATCCATTGGCTGAAAACATCTTAATACACAAAGAACCGCAGAGCTTTGGCAATTGTTGGTCGCGCCGGCTCACCGCGTGGCTTGCCTCCCCGTTTGTGCTTCCCTGGTGACCCCCCACGTACTTCACCCCCCCCCTGCCCTGCCCCTCTCTCACCCTCCAGACCCCCTCCACCCCTGCTCTCCTGCCAACCTGCAGCCGCTGTTCCCAGGAGTTAAGATCGAATTCTCCGATTTAGTTGCTTCGCTTGCGAGCACTGTGCCCGATGCCGGACGCTGTCGCCTGGATGTGTTGTTGTTTACGTTGTCGCGATATTTGCCCACTCTGTAACGTCGCTAATTAAGGAGAAATAACAACGCTCGTTTTGTATTAAAGTTCATGAAAGATGTGGATTTCCAACCGCTCATGCTGCAGGTTCGTGGGTGATCTGTTGTGAATTGTAACGTGAATGGACCTCGTAGCTTTGGTGAGGTGTTGTTACGTCCACATGGTGGGGCAGAATTGTGGCACACGTGCGTGCGTTTCGAAACCGTTAATTAATTGAACACTTTTCGATTTAAAGCTTTCGTGGCTGCAAGGATTCATTTTCTTTGGTTCTTTCGGTAAAGTCATATAGAATGAGAATAAAATAAATAAATAATAAAATAACACAATAAAATTATCACGACGTTTCGGCAAAAACACAAGTGGCCTTCATCAGGTAAAGGGACGAGACTGTCTCGAGGACAGCGCTCCAGTCTCGTCCCTTCACCTGATGAAGGCCACTTGTGTTTTGGCCGAAACGTCGTGAGAATTTTATTGCGTTATTTTATTTTATTAATTTATTATTTTATTCTCATTCTACGTGACTTTACCGAAAGAACCAAAGAAGATAATTGAACACTCTCGTTGATGAAGCTGCTTTGGTACAAACCCCCGTAGGCACAATGAGTGTCCTGGCACCAACACAACTGTGAAACGGCACACCCCACATGTATTATGAATGCGCCCACAATTCATGAATGTAAGCCAACATTATTACGCGCACCGTTTTCAGATGGCGTACGAACAACTCGGGTGAAGTGGACAAACAAATGGAGAAGAATCGATCGCAGTTTGGCTTTTTAAATGTTGTTCTCTCGATTGTTGCGTACGCTGTCTGGCACTGTATTTTTTTTGACCATTGCATTTGGTCTGCAATCCCTTCTTTGCTGAGTAATTCTCTCAAATCCCACCTTTGCTCTGGTGCCTCGCGTCGTTCTGCATGCGAGGCGCGGTATCAACATGAGGCGATAATTTTGTCATGGAGCATAAACCATCATCACGCGAATTCCGGTAAGCCTCGCATCAGCGGCTTTTGGTTGGCCACTGAACCAAGACGGTGGTCACCGCATCGTGCGGCGCTTTCAGAAGTGCTTCTGCGGCCGTCTGGAACGCTCTTCCTTCTGATATTAGGATTCCCACTGGAGCTATGCACTTTTACATCGACACTAAAAAGAATATCTTTAGAACTGATGTTTTTCTGTTTAGTTTGTTGTCCTCCGATTAGCACAGTTGGCTAGGTACGGTGCGAAATAAGTTCAACAAACATAAATACATACCCCGCCTCTCATCGCTTTGCCGGATGATTCATAACTCATAATAGATGTTTGGGGTCAGATTACATAAGCAAAAATGGCGTTGCAAACGTCTCCTCCATCCGCACAGCCAATTAACAAAGTTACCGCCACGTGAACACATTTCCCGTCCGCGATCTGACCCCTAAAAATCAACTGCGACTCGTGTAGGTCGTGAGGCGCGTGTGTGTTAAAACTCTGCTTGGCTGCGTTTTAAAACAGAGACGCGTCCGGCGCTCGCCGATGTTATTTTGTAAATCGTCTCACGATCCCCTTGGTGATGCCGTGTGTACTTTGTAGGGGGTGGGGAGGGGGCTTCTCTCTCTGGTACGGGGCAGCCGGAAGGGTCCTCGAACATCCAGAGACAAACCCTTCACTCGCCGCCGTCTTGTTTGAACATACATTCAGGGCCCCTTCCTTCCCCCCCTCCACTCAATATCCAAGCAGCGCGTTACGCCACCACACACTCGACACGGAGTTCAGATTTACGCGTGTGAGTGTGGTTGTCTCTCTATCTTCGTCTTGTATCGAGGAGGCTCGTGAAGGACGCTGCTGGCCAGTTGGTTGGCAGTCGCCCTCCCAACAACAATGGCGGGCAGAGGAGCGACGCTCACAACAACGAGCGGCTAAAATACAGCAAGTTGGCACAGTGGGGAGCACGGCTGGTTCTTCTGCCAGTAATCTCAGTCAACCCATGGCACCTGAGTCAGTCCCGTGACCTGTCAGCTGAGCGTTGGACACTTCACGTGGCCTCAAAGTGCCTCAAAGTGCACGCGGTCTGGCACAGGCGCCGTGGTGACGTCACAGTCACTAAGTGACGAATGGCGTGTGGTTTTGGTATTGGTATGGAGCGGTGGCACAGTGGTTAGCGCACTGCGCTACGAACCCGGCGGCCCGAGATCGATTCCCACTCGCGGCCAACACCAGTTGATAAATTACTGTATATCTGAACCGGTTCTGGGCTTCCCCTCGGTCGACTCAGCCTCAAATGAGTACCTGGGCGCGGTGTGTAAACATCGCCACCGGGGAGACAAAGGCGGCCAGACGTGGTGCTGGCCACCCACCCCATCGCGTGCCGCTCCGGCCTTCGCCATAGGTGCTCGCTAACAGCACCTTGCACCCCGAACAGTCTATTAAAGGCCATACGGGCGATTCCTCTTTGGTTGTTTAACGATATAACGCCAGAGAGGAGGCGCTCGCGGGAACGCAGCAACGTTTGGATTGTGGCGGTCGCGGGGACGTGATGGGTGTGGGGACGCCTTCACCCAGCAGTGGATAGAACATGACTGACGATCGCGATAACACGCGTCAAGTCACTGGGCGTTGACGTGGCAATGGAAAATGTGTAACGCGTGTCGGAGTCTTTGAATTGAATTGGATTCTAGTGGGGAATGATGCGCGTTTGTGTTTGCTCGTGCCCAGTGTACTGCAGGGCCCGTTCACATCGGCTGAGCAAGAATTTGCTACCGCTGCTCAATATTATGTAAAATATCATTCCGTGGTTCTAGTGAAATACGGTTTCGGTCGTTTTTGTTCAAATATAAATTTCAAATATGCTCATACTAGTGAGAAGGAATAGATGGTTGGCAATAATGAAGATGACGATTGGGTGGATGTTCCTTGAGAAGACAGATGGATTCTGGCTTAGTAACCATTGGAAAGATGTTTTAAACCATTTCTGTTCTTAATTAATTGTATTTTACGATGACCTTCAGACCGCAGCTCTTTCGCCAGCATTGACTCTTAATACCTCTCACACCACGGTTAATGGTATGGTTTACAACATGGAGTATAATAGCGCCTCGCAGCTGTCTCTCTCCCCCTCCTCTGTTCCGACCATGGATGAACTCGTCCGTCTGAACGGGGCCCGTAGCTATCCGTGGTGCTAAAGTTGAGGGTAAGAATCCACCCATTTTTTCGCCATATATCATTGTGATATATAACGACTTATTGTTGGTAGCTTAGCTGATTGGAGAATATAGAGTTTATTGATAACATTAAGGTAATTTATATTTTAGTTTTTTATTGGTTCACTATATAGTACTGTGAATAGCTCAGATGTGTAGGCCTTGACTTCAACATAGTCATTTCTGTGACCAGTCACTAGCTAATCACTCAGTTATTTCAATGCTAAATTCGCCTAGTTATTTCATTGCTAAATTCTCCTGTTTGATTTGTACTAAGTGCCTCGGTGAATGTGTATGCTCTGACTTTAACGTAGCTATTTCTGTGACCAGTTACAAGCTAATCACTCAGCTATTTCAATGCTAAATTCTATGCTAATTCCTTTGTCAAGGGGTGCCTCTGCGGATGTGTATGCTTTAACTTAGCTATTTCAATGCTAAATTCTATGCTAATTCCTTTATCAAGGGGTGCCTCTGCGGATGTGTATGCTTTAACTTTTAACATAGCTATTTCTGTGACCAGTCACAATCTAATCACTCAGCCATTTCAATGCTAAATTATATGCGAATTCCTTTGTCAAGGCGCTTTGTTTCCTCTCACACAGCTTAAAGGTCGTGATCTGAACGTGGCTCTTTCACTCCAGCGCTGTCCTACCAGACAGTCTCGTCCCTTCACCTGATGAAGGCCGCTTGTGTTGTGGCCGAAACGTCGTGAGAATATTATTGTGTTATTTTATTTTATCAATTTATTATTTTATTCTCATTTTACGTGGCTTTACCGAAAGAACCAAAGAAGATGAATCATTGCAGTCACGAAAGCTTTAAATCGAAATTTAAAAATGAGTCGGTGGATGATGTTGATGATGTGATCATGGAGGAGGAGTGGATGGAGGAGGAGGAGGAGGAGCGGTGGGCGAATGTTATTGATGGTGGCGATGATGTGGCGTTGGATAAATATTGATGGTCACAGACTTTTTAAAAATATCCACCACCGCACTTGGAGACGCTGCGCGGTCACCGTCACGACCACAGAGCGCCTGGAGAGCTCTCACGCGGCCAGGGGCGTGCGGAGGGGTGAAGTGTGCGTCTAGGGGGAGGCGACGAGGGGAGAGGGGAGGGGGAGTACCTTAAATACGGAGGGGACCAGCGAGGGATCAGCAGAGAACCCCGAGCACGCCTCGACTGGGTCACCCAACATCTCCCATGCAGGTAGTTGCGCTCACGGACACTTCACATCGCGAGGAGAACGATGAATACACAACGACATGATGCTGAGCGCCGATTGCCAAATCCACTTCTGGATTGCGGTTTTCCGTGACCTTCACCACGCTGGTCAGTGCGGGTTGGTGGATAGGGGACCCCGGGACTGGTTCCGATATTGTCAGCCCCTGATGTTGAATATGGCCAGGAATCTAACTTCGGGTGGATGGGTTCATAGCGCAGTTGCGTCTCCACTCACTCCGCTCTGACACTGTCACTTGTTGAAGTCGGCATGAACATTTTACGTAACTTTAAATCAAAACAAAAAAAAACAATCAGCGCGCTTTGGGTGGGCGGATGATTGCCGTTGGTCAAGACTAACAACGGAACGGCAGTCAAAGGAGTTTTCTGTCCTCATCACACACCTCCGATTAGCACGCTTGGCTACGTACGGTGCGAAACAAGTTCAACATACAGTACACACAAGACGCCCTAGAGGACGCCCACCCGCAGAGATGAAACGATTTGAGAACAATTTACATCGCAGGACCGTGAGAGATGACGACGCTTTGGAGATGGCTTCATCCAGCAGTGGATTGACCCTGGATAATGATCACGATGATGATGGTGATTTCGTGTTGTTCAAGGGCTTCAAGAGGTCGCGGCGGGGAACATTCGCGCTCATAGCGGCTGTCTTCTGTCTGGCGGGTAAGAGGCTCCTATCGAGAGTTGTGCCACACGGGTTCGACCCGGGACCCTGTTTCCTGGGGGAGGCCCAAAGGCCGGTTCAGACAATCGTCACCGGTGTTCGCCGTGAGCAGGAATCGAACTCGGGAAGCCGGCTTCGTAGCGCAGTCGGCTAACTTCTACAATACCATTCTTCCCTCCAAAGATCCCCCGTATAGCCTTGAACAGACTGTAGGGGCAAGTGCTGTTAGCGAGCACTTATGACGACCGGCACGGCACACGAGGCGGTGGGTGACCAGCACGACGCCCGGCCGCCTTTGTCTCCCGAGTGGCGAGGTTCATTACACACCGCACCAGGTACTCATTTGAGGCTGAGTCGACCTAGGGGAGGCCCAGAACCGGTTCAGATAATCGTCACTGGTGTTGACCGTGAGCGAGAATTGAACTCGGGTGGCCGGGTTCGTAGCGCAGCATAGCGCTAACCGCTACACTGCCGTTGTGTTCCCTCCGTACACTCTCCGCCAGACGTACGCGGACCGACAAGACCAGTACACACGCATACCCAGGGCACACACACTATTCAGCACAGCACGTGTGTTGTAGGAGCGTATTCAAAGCTACGAATTCGACCGAGACACAAACATGGCACAGTATTCACTAAGCTAGGCCGTGGGGCTTTAACGCAGGAAATGATCAATTCATTCACGAGCCCTCCCTCCCCGTTGGACCAACGTTGACCCAACGTTGGCCTAACGTTAGTCCAACGCTCCGCGTGCTTGCTGGGCTGACATTGGGCCCACATCCAGTATGAAATATTCGGAGCATCCCGTAGTATTCTGCTACAAATGGCCTCTTGCTGATGAGTGATAACGGAGCCCAGCCGGAGCTGGCCACGACACCCGTCTTAAATCGGAGCACGGTGTCAGCCGCGCACCTTAATCCAAGCAAATAATAACAGGCACAAATAAAACATCCTGCTTAGCTTCCACGGTGTAGCGCAGGGGTCGGCAGCCTGCGGTTCCGGAGCCGCATGCGGCTCTTTGATGGGACTGCTTCGTGACGCGTTATTTATTGATGATCGTCTCGTATTCGCATGGCATTGCGGCTCTTGAAATATCGAGGGGTTGGTTTTTTTTTTAATCGAATTTGAAAAAAAATGCCTCTTCTTGTTATTCTGGTTACCGACCCGTAATCTTGCGTGATCGAGGGCATTCCGGAAAACGTTGTCATATTGTCATATGATGTTTGCGTCATTTAAAAAAAGCAATATCTTGTTCATTAGTTAGTTTACATTGATCGATTTGGGAAAGACGGGGGTGACCAGTGAAGCCACTGTGGTGGCTCCGTGTCCTTGTCCCACAGCTGGGACCTCCGTGTCGCGAGCGCAGGCGCAGTGCGGAGGAAACTTCACGGACAGCAATGGCATCATCGAGACGCCCAACTTCCCGGGACTCTACCCGCCCATGCTCAACTGCCTATGGATCATTCAGGTGCGGGTCGTGAGTTTATCAGCGATCAGGAGAAATCGCTCGGCTCAATTGTTATACGCGATCGTTATACTTACAGGGTAAGTATTCAAATGCCAATTTTAAAAACAAATGTTCACCGGGAAATACGTTATTATTAAGTGTGATTCTTATCAGGCCCCATGATGTATCATCGTGCAATGCCCGACTATTATAGACCGTATGTGTCTGGCCTCTCGCAGCGGCTTTTGGCTGGCCATCGTGCATAGACGGTCACCGCATCGCGTGCTTTCACATGCGCGTCTGCGGCCGTCTTGAACACTCTTCTGTCTGATATTAGGAAACCGCTGGAGCTTTGCGCTTTTAAATATAGGTTTAAAAAGTAATTTCTTTAGAACGTATTTTTTTGTTTCGGCTGTTGTACTTCCCGCACCTCCGATAAGCACGGTTGGCTACGTACGGTGCGAAAAAAGTCCAACATATATACATATACACCTGTTGTACTTCTTGTGGCAGCTGAATACTCTAAACGCATGTTTCTACATGTGGAGGGGGAAAAACGGAGAACCTGGAGAAAAATCCACGCGACCACGGCGAGAGAGACACGCAAACTCCAAATATACAGCAGCCGGCGTCAGGGTCGGGATCGAACCCACGACCTCCTGTATACGAGGCGAGGTAGTTAACATCTCCTAGCCACCGTGATGATGATGAGAGAGAGACAAGCAAACTCCAAATATACAGCAGCCAGCGTCAGGGTCGGGATCGAACCCACGACCTCCTGTAAACCAGGCGAGGTAGTTAACATCTCCTAGCCACCGTGATGATTATGAGAGAGAGACAAGCAAACTCCAAATATACAGCAGCCAGTGTCAGGGTCGGAATCGAACCCACGATCTCCTGTAAACCAGGCGAGGTAGTTAACATCTCCTAGCCACCGTGATGATTATGAGAGAGAGACAAGCAAACTCCAAATATACAGCAGCCAGTGTCAGGGTCGGGATCGAGCCCACGACCTCCTGTAAACCAGGCGAGGTAGTTAACATCTCCTAGCCACCGTGGTGCCGACGCTGCCACTGCTGCTGCTGTGATGATGACGCTGAGACCAACACTGCTGCTACTGCCACTGCTTCTTCGGTCGATGACGGAGCCCCCCCGCCGCCCCCGGGGGGTGTCCTCTCGCTCTCGCTCGCCACCAGTCCTCGGACCGACGCGGCGTGGTCATCATCAGCGTCATTGACTTCGAGCTGGAGGAGTCGGACGCGTGCGTCTTCGACAAACTGCGCATGGAGGCGGGAAACCCCCCGGGTCCGCCCCGCCTCTACTGCGGCGGGGACTTCGAGCGGCGCTACGGGGTGTCGGAGATGCAGGCGACCGGGCGCATGACGCTGCAGTTCAACAGCGACGAGTCCGTGGAGCTGCGCGGATTTCGAATCGGCTTCTGGGGTGGGTGCATCGCGCGCTGCCGCGGATCTCTTTACAAATCACAATGCTGGACTGGCAGGGCGGCCGAGTCTGTTAAGATCTTAATGGTCATTGCCACCCTCGTAACGTAATGGTAAATATGAATCAAATGTCGGTGGAGGGGTAGGGGCGGCGCGTAGTCAATCGTGTGGGGAGCGGTGGTGTAGTGGTTAGAGCGCTACGCTATGAACGCGGCGACCCGAGTTCAAGGCCACCAACACACGTAACGAATGTCTGAACCGGTCCTGGGCATACCCTAGGTCGACTCAGCCTCTAGTGAGTAACCTGGTGCCTTCAATAGGTGCTCGCTAACAGCAATTGCCCCGACAGTCTGCTAAGGCTATACGGAGGGATGCCTATCTTTGCCTTTCTGGTTGTAAGCCACACGTGCTGTTGGTCGTGTAACAATCGATTTCGGCGGATTAGCGTTGATTCTCACTCCCTCCTTCCTCGCAGTCGAAGACCCGCTCCAGACATCCCCGTTGCCCACAACCACCTTGGCCACGACCTCCACCACTCCGGCCACCACCCCAGGTACCCGGGGCTCTCACTCGCGCCAACGGGTTCGTGAACCCCGTCTGCTCTGCACCTTTGGGCGTTAAACCCTCCAATTGCCGGTGGTACTTTCCAATGGTCGTGGAAAACGTAGCATTTGTGTCACGTGTTTCCCGTACACGCACGCGCGCACACATACGCACAGGTCAATGCCAGCCTCTAGAAAACATGGACAACGGTCGCCTGTTCGTCACCTCTTACGAGGTGGGCGGCGTGGCCTCGTACACGTGCCGGCCCGGGTTCCGCATGGTGGGCGCGTCCAACAGAGTGTGCGAGGCCAGCGGGCGGTGGAGCGGCTCCGTGCCCGTGTGCCGCGCGCGACCCACGACAGGTTCGATTCCCCACCCGGGTCTGTGTGTGTTTTTTATTATTATTATTATTTTACACGCTTTAATTTAACTCACTCTGTCCGTTGTTGTTGTATCCTCAAATCTTGTAACTCAATTTTAACCCACTTCCCAATGTGGTATCGACTGCAAACTTGGTATACTTATGTCATACTGGTGACAATATTATATCATATTTGTCCACGGTCAACTGACGTTGGCTGTAATTGGCCACGGTCCCCCTTTACGTTGTGGCAAGCTTCGGGGCCACTTCCTGGAGTCGTGGAGTTCTTCCATTACTAGTACATTTCATAAAGCGTGTTTATAAAAAAACACTTAATATTACTTTTTTTTGTTCACCACGTGGAGGCGCGGGTAGATGGGCGGCGGGGGGTTTGGCAGCGGTTGCAGGACGGAGGGAAGTTGTTTTGAAGGCGGTGTTGCGTTGACTTGGGGCCCCACGGAGGCGAGAGATGTTAACTATCTCGCCTGGTATACAGGAGGTCGCGGGTTCGATCCCGATCCTGACGCCTATATATGTGGAGTTCGCGTGTTCTCCCCGTGGTCGCGTGGATTTTTCTCCGGGTGCTCCGGTTTTTCTCTCCACGTTTATAGTAAAAAAAATGCGTTAACAGTATTTGGATGCTGTAAATGTGCACGTGATAAGCCGCTTCGTTGAGCTATCAAGTGTGGCCAGCTGTATAGCTCAGTGGGCCTTACCTGGTAAAATAAAGAAAAATACAACTTGATTTGGTGCTTTCGTGACTACAGGAATTACTCTTTGTTTTTTTCGGTAAAGTCATGTAGAAATAAGAAATAATAATAAAATTACATAATAGCATTCGACGTTTCGATTGCAACGCAAGCAATCATCATTAGGTATAGAAGAGCTAAATTTAAGAGAGAGAGGAAACACAGAACCGCAGATATATATACAGACAGCGCCTCAACATGGATACAGTAAACTTGGGTGGGCGGGCCTAAGGGACATTTTGGTGGTGCAGGGCCTAGCCCAGCAGAGATAGCACTGATCTCGAAACTTCCCAGGAAGACCCGGAATTTCAAGCTTTTGAAATATGGCCCTACATTAACATAAAAAAATACTGCATTATATCTGGTGAAAAATCAATAATATTGCTAAATTTTGAGGATTTGGATCAGCCACTGGATTCTCGCGCTGCCCCTTTGATTCCTTGTGTCCTGGCGTTTTTGCCGCACGTGCTCGTTTTCAGTCAACAAAGAAGGGTGGTCAACGTGCCGTAACTTTCGCTTTTCCGCTCAGCGACAACGACGATTCGAGCCGAGACGTCTTCGGCCAGCGAGCTGCCGACGAACGCGAGCAAGGGAGGCAACGCATCTCTCGGTGAACTCGCAAATCGCAATGCAGTCACAACCATTTGTTGATTGACTGTTGCAGCTGAGCCGGAACATTACCCTCCACTTGTCATACATCTCACAGAGCTGGAAAGGGGTTTCCCCCCCCCAACCCTTTCCTGGATTAGTCCGGCTTCGATGGGTTTTACTGAGTGATCTGTGTGTGAATAGAGAGATCTGTGTGTGTGTGATTAGAGGGATCTCTGTGTCTGTATATAGAGGAAAGTGGGCGTCAATAGCGGGATCTATTTGTGTGTGAATAGATGGATATGTGTGTATGAATAGAGGGAACGGTGTGCGTGTGTGAATAGAGGAATCTGTGTTTGTGTGTATGAATAGAGGGATCTGTGTGTGTGTGTGAATAGAGGAGTCTGTGTGTGTGTGAATAGAGGGATCTATGTGTGTGTGTGTGAATAGAGGAGCCTGTGTGTGTGTGAATAGAGTCTGTGTGTGAATAGAGGGATCTGTGTGTGTGTGAATAGAGGAGTCTGTGTGTGTGTGAATAGAGGGATCTGTGTGTGTGAATAGAGGGATCTATGTGTGTGTGAATAGAGGAGTCTGTGTGTGTGAATAGAGGAGTCTGTGTGTGAATAGAATAGTCTGTGTGTGAATAGAGGAGTCTGTGTGTGTGAATAGAGGGATCTGTGTGTGTGTGAATAGAGGGATCTATGTGTGTGTGAATAGAGGAGTCTGTGTGTGTGTGAATAGAGGAGTGTGTGTGTGTGAATAGAGGAGTGTGTGTGTGTGTGTGAATAGAGGAGTGTGTGTGTGTGTGTGTGAATAGAGGGATCTATGTGTGTGTGTGAATAGAGGAGTGTGTGTGTGTGTGAATAGAGGGATATATGTGTGTGTGAATAGAGGGATCTATGTGTGTGTGTGTAAATAGAGGAGTCTGTGCGTGTGTGAATAGAGGGATCTATGTGTGTGTGAATAGAGGAGTGTGTGTGTGAATAGAGTTGTCTGTGTGTGTGTGAATAGAGGAGTGTGTGTGTGTGTGAATAGAGGGATCAATGTGTGTGTGTGAATAGAGGAGTATGTGTGTGAATAGAGGAGTGTGTGTGTGTGTGAATAGAGTTGTCTGTGTGTGTGTGTGTGTCTTGCGAGTGGGGAGCGATAGTGTAGCGGTTAGCGCGCTGCGCTATGAACCTGGCGACCCGGGTTCGATTCCCGCTCACGGCCAACACCAGTGACGATTATCTGAACCGGTCCCGGGCCTCCCCTAGGTCGACTCAGCCTCAAATGAGTACCTGGTGCGGTGTGTAAACATTGCCACTAGGGAGACAAAGGCGGTCGGGCGTGGTGCTGGCCACCCACCCCCTCGTGTACCGTTCCGGCCTTCATAGGTGCTCGCTAACAGCACTTGCCCCTACAGTCTGTTAAGGCTATATGGGGGATCTTTGTCTTTGTCTTGCGAGAGAAGGCTGTCCGGAACCGGGTCTGCCTCTGGGCGGGTTGGGGCCCTTGCCCGGGCTCTCGCTGAACTTCCGAGCCGGGGACGTGCTCCGATTCTCGTGCCTCCCGGGCTTCGCCATCACGGGCGCCACGAGCCTCAAGTGCCTCGACAGCGGCCGCTGGTCGGACGAGGCCCCCACGTGCTCACGTACCGCGCGCACCGCAACATGCGCGGCACACCAACATCCATCCTTGTTACTGCACTGCTACTGCCGCTACCGATGACGATGATGACGACGACGACGATTGGGCTGATATTATAATTGTGCTATTGCTACTCATGACGATAATTCAGGTGCTGGGGTGACGATGCTGTTATTGCTGCTGATTTTGATGATGAGTTTGCTGTTAATAATGATGATCTTTCTGCTATCTTCCATTGATGGTGGCGATGCTGGTGATGGTAGTGATTCTGGTGATGGTAGTGATTCTGATGATGGTAGTGATTCTGGTGATGGTAGTGATTCTAGTGATGGTGGTGATTCTGCTGATGGTAGTGGCGATTTCTATTGATTGTGGCTCTGCGCACTTGTAGGGGTCGGGATGTCGCTATCCCCACTCTGGGCCTCGGCTCTGATCGCCGCGGGCTGCGTGGCTGGAGGCGCCGTGGTTCTGCTCGTGTCCTTCGCCCTCGCACGACGGTGAGATGAGTGCGGTGGTGAGACGAGTGGGTTGGTGAAATGAGTGCGGTGGTGAGATGAGTGCGGTGGTGAGATGAGTGCGGTGGTGAGATGAGTGGGTTGGTGAGATGAGTGCGGTGGTGAGATGAGTGCGGTGGTGAGACGAGTGGGTTGGTGAGATGAGTGCGGTGGTGAGATGAGTGTAGTGGTGAGATGAGTGTGGTGGTGAGATGAGTGTAGTGGTGAGATGAGTGTGGTGGTGAGATGAGTGCGGTGGTGAGATGAGTGTGGTGGTGACACGAGTGGGTTGGTGAGGTGAGTGTGGTGGTGAGATGAGTGTGGTGGTGACACGAGTGGGTTGGTGAGATGAGTGCGGTGGTGAGATGAGTGTGGTGGTGAGATGAGTGTGGTGGTGAGATGAGTGGGTTGGTGAGATGAGTGGGTTGGTGAGATGAGTGTGGTGGTGAGATGAGTGGGTTGGTGAGATGAGTGGGTTGGTGAGATGAGTGGATTGGTGAGATGAGTGGGTTGGTGAGATGAGTGGGTTGGTGAGATGAGTGTGGTGGTGAGATGACTGGGTTGGTGAGATGATTGGGTTGGTGAGATGAGTGAATTGGTGAGACAAGTGCGGTGGTGAGATGAGTGGGTTGGTGAGATGAGTGGGTTGGTGAGATGAGTGGGTTGGTGAGATGAGTGGGTTGGTGAGATGAGTGGGTTGGTGAGATGAGTGGATTGGTGAGACAAGTGCGGTGGTGAGATGAGTGGGTTGGTGAGATGAGTGGGTTGGTGAGATGAGTGTGGTGGTGAGATGAGTGGGTTGGTGAGATGAGTGTGGTGGTGAGATGAGTGGGTTGGTGAGATGAGTGTGGTGGTGAGACGAGTGTGGTGTGGTGAGACGAGTGTGGTGTGGTGAGACGAGTGTGGTGAGACGAGTGGGGTGTGGTGAGATGAGTGGGGTGTGGTGAGATGAGTGGGGTGTGGTGAGACGAGTGTGGTGCGGTGAGATGGGTGCGGTGATGAGGCGACTGCTAAGACTGTCTTTCAGGAGTGCCCTGAATTGGCATTTTCGGTCAGTTTTGTGAATGGGCTTTTAGCACTGAACCGCACCGTCTCTGTCAATTGACGGGTTACATCCGTGACTTTTTACACTTTTCAGCTCCAGAAAAGTAGCGTCTGACGACCATCCGAAGATGACTCTGTAACACCACAATCTTCATGGACGGCGCAGCACTGCAGCAACGACACAAACACCACGGACAGCGCTTCACTACACACAATAACAACACGAATACCATGGACAGCGCCTCACTAAACACAGCAACAACAACGCAAATACCATGGACAGCGCCTCACTAAACACAACAACAACAACAAATACCATGGACAGCGCCTCACTAAACACAGCAACAACAACGCAAATACCATAGACAGCGCCTCACTAAACACAACAACAACGACAACAAATACCATGGACAGCGCCTCACTAAATACAGCAACAACAACACAAATACCATGGACAGCGCCTCACTAAACACAGCAACAACAACACAAATACCATGGACAGCGCCTCATTACACAGCAGCAGCAACAACAACAACCAAAACACGCGCACGGAGCACGCAGACTCGCACTCCGGATTTGTATGTTTTAAGACGAGTGTTGGTTTATTTAAATAATCGCAATTGTGATCCCGTTCCAGAATCAGTCTTTCTATATATGTCTTAATACAAACTAGCAGCCCGCACATCCATTGGACGTAACCATCTGTCCATCCGCCCGTCTCTCCCTCCGGACCTGACGTCCGGCCAACCAGCCAGCCAGACAAATAAACTGTTGTCTCATTTAGTATGATATGACATTGTGCTGAATGTACCAGCCTCTACTGGCTGGAGGTGGAGGGGGAGGCACGTAAACCCATCACTAAAATTATATTACACGTGAATCCACCGATATTTCAATATCATCATTATTCGCCAGTTTATTCACCGAAAAATCATCATCATCATCTACACGCCGCCCGAGTCCAATATTGAGTCTTAATTTGATGATTTTCAGTTAATTATGTTAATTGTACCGATGCGGTTTTTCCTTTGTGTGTGTTTTTTTGCGCCTGTATTTGTGGTTTTGATGCAGTGATTTCACCACGTGGTGTGAGAAATGTTCATTTTTACCAACATAAAGCGTGTGTTTCTAATTCTATGTGAAGCTAAATTAATTGTTTTGCTGTACTTTGCAACAATGTATATGCTCCCCGCCTTAAAACGCAGATCGCCACACCAACAAGCGTAGCTCACACACACACGAACAAAGACAAAGATCTCCCGTGTAGCCTGAACAGACTGTTGGGGCAAGTGCTGTTAGCGAGCACCTATGAAGGCCGGAACGGCACACGAGTGGGTGGGTGGCCAGCCCCACGCCGGGCCGCCTTTGTCTCCCTACTGGCGATGTGTACACACCGCACAAGATATTAATTTACGGCTGAATCGACGTAGGGGCGGTCCATAACCGGTTCAAATATTCACCGCTGTTTTTGTTTGCGTGAGCGGAACTCGAACTCGGATCGCCGGGTTCGTAAGCGCAGTGCGCCAAGCACTGCGCCACCGCTCCCCGCCGAAGCACGCGGGGGAGCACGGACACACAACTGGGCGTCACGTGACGCGCTTGAGTAAGTGGGGGGGGGTATAAAAGGGACGCGGCTCGCGAGCGCAGAGGGGAGCCGTGGAGGGAGTCGCTCGCCATGGGGGGTGCGACCCTCGTGCTCAGAGTGCTGCTGGCACTCATCGCCTGCCAGGTGTGCGCGACCAACACCACAGGTAACAACCACAACAACAACAACACCTCGACACTGCTGTAGCAAGCACGGGTGCTGGGTGTGTACAGGTGTGTATGCGTGTATGTCGGGGAGGCGGTAGCGTGGTGGTTAGAGCGCTGCGCTACGAACCCGTGCGACCCGGGTTCGATTCCCGGTCACGGACACCAACGCCACTGACGACATCTGAATCGATCCTAGGTCGACTAAACCACCAATGAGTGCCTGGTGCGGTGTGTAAAACATCGCCACTGGGGAGACAAAGGCGGCTGGGCGTGGTGTTGGCCACCCACCCCCATCGTGTGCCGTGCCGGCCTTCATAGGTGCTCGCTGATAGCACTTGCCCTTAAATCCTTTCAAGGCAACACGGGGATTATTTAATCTTTGTTCGTGTTAATGTTTCTTTTTTAAGACTGACAACACGGCGCACGATTAGGTCTCGGCCGCCTTTGTATCCCCCCGTGCTGTTGACGTTTACACATCGCACCAGGACCGGTTTAGTTGTCACTCGCCACTGATGTTAGCCGTTGCTGGGAATCGATACGTCGCTTCTGACGATCGTCTCTTTGTGCGTGGGGCACCAACAGTGGAAGTTCGCACAACCGCGCTCCGATCCTAGATACCTGGGTTCGATTCCTTTCCGTGGATATAACATCAATGGGCCGTATATAATAGGCGACGTTTCGGACCAATTGCCCTTCTTCACAGTACACAGACGGGGCAGAGAGGTAGAGTGGTTTGTGTATGGAGCACTCGGAGTGAACCCACCGTACATACATACTATGGAGGGGAGTGGGGGGGGTAACCACTCGACTATCGGCGACACAAAATTCACGTTACTCGAGTCGACGAAGCCACTTGCTCTACTGACATTAACGTGCTTCGACACCGCAGCCCTTGAAGCGGGGTTCTTGGCAGCTCCACGGATCGGCGACCACGGTGAGCGGGCGTAACGATCGGGTGTGAAGGCGGTGCAACTGCCCCGGGCCCCCGCGGGTGACGAAGAAGACAGTCATTCTCAATACAAACAATGGGTCAACGTGCTCATTGGGTTGTTGTTGTTTTTACCGTACTTCACCACGCTGGTCAGTATACGCGTTGTTAAAAATTGGAGAGTCGGGGGGGGGGATGTGGAGGTTGGAGGAGGAGCGCGCAACCGAGTCTGACATCACTTTGCACTGACGTCGTTAGCCTTGGTCGGGAGTCAAACTCGGGTGGCGAAGTTTACAGCGATTTTGGTACGGAGGTCGGGGGGGGGGGGGGTGGGAGTTTGACGCGATCACCGTTGTGTTCCTCCCCGCGGCAGAAAACGCATGGAGCGAGTTCGAGAGGAGGTCTCTCGCGCCCGCCACGGACGCCGAGGTCCAGCCCGGGACCCCGCGGGACAATCCGTGGGACGCGGCGAAACGGTTGAGGGGTTCGTCATCATCATCATCATCATCGTCATCAACAACAACAACGTCGTCGTCGTCGTCATCATCTCCTCCTCGTCGCCCCTCGTCCCGCAAACCTCCCGTCGAGCCGCTGCTTTCCACGTGGTGGTTCCGCTACGGCCGTCGGGACGCGTCACGGCGGGGTGACGAGGGTAGGGACGAGGTGTCCACCGCCCCGCAGTGGTCCGCCGCCCGGCCTCGCCGCCCCTTCCCCCGTCACCTGTGGTGGTTCCGTGCCGGCAAGCGCAGCGCCGCCGAGATGCCCGCCACGGGAGCGCACGCCGAGTAGCTGGCGGACCGCGCCACGTGCTTCGGCGACTTTAACGCGCGAGGCCACCGCGTCGAGCGGCGCGTTCAAATTGACTCGCTCGCTCGCACGCGATGGCAACGTCTGTCGCACGCGATGGCGTGATGGTGTTACGCGTTCGAAATGAAAGGGACGAGGAGCTCCAGGATCGATGGTGGCAAACATATTTATTTTATCCATAATAGAGGGGGGGGGGGTTTGTGGGGGGGGGGATGAGATCGCGTGAACATATACATGTGTCGTTAAACCCGCTACCACCCGACACAGCCAATTAGCAATGTTAATCACGTAAACAGAGCATGCCAATTCGTCACTAGTACAGCGCACTGGTGTGTTGGAGGGCAAAGCCGCAACATTTCTAATCTGAGTACGACTCCTTCGCCAGTAATTATAACTAGCTTTATCAGGCGACAGCCAGGTTTGTAGAGACATCCTCCTGTTTCCTTCCTTAAATAGCGGGGTCGATGTTATGACATCACTTGCGAGCTCTTCTTGCGCGAAGTCGGGGGTGAGGTGCGTGCGGGTTAATGAATGCAGAATAAATTACGATGGGTATCTGTAAAACGAAATAACATGCATATACTTTGGGTCTTTCGGTAAAGTCACGTAGGTAGAAAAATAATAGATCCGACGTTTCGATCGCAACACAAGCAATGGTCATCAGGTGGGACAAACACAGCAAGAAAAAAAAACTGCTGTGGTTGTCCCAGACTGATGACGATTGCTGGTGTGGCGATCGAAACGTCGTGATCTAATATTTTATTATTATTATTTTTAAATTGTCTTTTTATACCTACGTGATGACTTTACCGAAAGAACCAAAGACTGTGGATTCCTGCAGTCACGAAAGCTTCAAATCAAGATGGAACATGGATATCATCGCTGAGCGTGTCTGCATCAAGATCCCCCGTTATCCACGTGGCCGTGGTGTGTACAGGGCTGATCGAGAGCACCACTGTTCACTTACGAGCCGGAATTAATATGAACCCCCCCACCCTCCACGTGTGGTTGAAACCCATAGAAAGTAAGGACCTTCTAATCAAACCCTCGCTCCAAAAATAATTAATTGTGGGAGGAGCCCGTTTCTATTGTGCCATCAAGCGAACTTCGGTCATCCTCGCAGCAGCGGAGCCACCTTTTAAATCATCGGAATTTGGCTACGTACGGTGTGAAAGAAGTTCAACATACGGTACATATGTACGTGCCAGATGGTGTGAGATTGTTTGACGGTACCCCTCTGCAGCCACTACAGGCGCTACATCTACCACGGTCTAATCTATCGACGTACGCCTGAATCTGTACGTCTCAAAAACCTCTTGGGTGGAAATCTGAAATTTAGTACAGAGGTAGCTTTTAGGACAAACTACAGGAACATCTGAAAAGCCGAGATTTTTTTTTATTTTAAGGCCCCAAAATCTCGATTTTAGGTGCCCCATGAACATGTTTGTGCCTGGTGTCATTCAGAAACCGTTCAAACTATAACATTGCAGTTTGTTTTCGTTTGGTAGAGCGTTAAACAGCGAATAAAATTAAAGCGACAACCATTGCTCTATCTTTTATTGCTTTTCAGATATTTCGGATTCAAACGGTTTTGAAGAAAAAAATACGCATTTTATGATGTAGAAATTTGAATAATTCGAAAACGATCAAAGATAGGAGCTTCACCTCACAGAGTATTAAGTTCATACCTTTTTTCTTTCTAATAAAAACAAAATCTTTTAATTGAGCGGTTTCCGATGGATACGTGTTTTAAATATAAGAAGTTCAATTAGGTCGTCAACAATATTTGTGTTTTTTTTACAGAAAAATACCCATTTTTGGAGTAGTTAGTGTCTGATCGTAGATATCTTTTTTTATTTTAAAATAATATCAGATTCATTATTATATTTATTGAAAACTTTTTGCCTGGCGAAGACAGGCTTTATAAATTAGTGTACGTATTTAAAAATATATTTCTACGATTATTAACTCCGAATCGTAGCTCAGATTGGCAACATGTCGAATTGCCTGTGGGGTAAATCCCTAGAGTAGTACCACTGACAATAGCGAAACAAAACGTTTGGTGACGCTGCTGCTGTGTTGACAATGATGCACAAAGTATAATACAACAGACACTGCCTTAAAATGCATATATATAAAACAGTAATAGGCTCCGTTTCGGGTAATGGCTCTTCTTCACAGCACATAGAGAGAGAGAGTCCAGAGAGTTGGATTGGCTTTCTTTCTGACTATGGCCAAGTAGAGACAATGGGAGCCTGAGATGGAGTGAGTGGCTTGCATTAAATGCGTAAATGAACATTTTCCTTCGATTCATACTTAACGCATGCTAAGTCAATGGAGGAGGAGATTCACTCAAGTGGTTGGTTGTTGATATATTGATGGTTGAGTCTGTAAACGTTGTCGCTGTTGGATTGTATAGTTTCGATTGTGTTCGTGATCAAACTATGAGCCATGTAATCAGTCACATGTACATGCATGGTTTTGATATTTGCGATGATAACTTACAGCAGTATACAATAAATAATTGTGCTCACAAAGTATCTGTGACCGTGGTTGTGGCTCGTGCGTGAGTGTGTATGAGCGGTGGTGCAGCGGTTAGCGTGCTGCGCTGCCAACCGGGGAACCTGAGTGATTCCCGCTCACGGCCAACAACACCGATGTCGATTATCTGAACCATTCCTGGGCCTCCCCTAGGTGGACTCCGCCACAATTGAGTACCTG